CACGGTCATAGCAGGCTTTATCATTACCACAGTCATGACATTCCTTGTAACCATTGTCACGGTCATAGCAGGCTTTATAATAACCACAGTCATGACATTCCTTGCAACCATTGTCACGGTCATATCAGGCTTTATCATTACCACAGTCATGACATTCCTTGCAACTATTATCACGGTCATATCAGGCTTTAGCATTGCCACGGTTATGTCAGGCCTTGCAACCTTTGTTACGGTCATATCAGGCTTTAACATTACCATGATCATGACAGGCCTTGCAATATAATATAGCATTGTCACGGTTATACCAAGCTTTCATGATAACACTACCACGCAGTCATGGCAGGATCCTTGCGAAACTTAAAAACACTAAAATAACAATATGGTGATGGTTGTGCCAGGCATAAGTCTTGCAATAGATAGCATGTGGGTGGATTTGCTGAAGTGAGGATTTCCCATGTTAAAAATAAGAGAGGTTTGTAGAAAAAACCGGGTAGTAAATCCTCCATGCTAGGTTCAAACTTGGTACCCAGTATCCGGTCGAAAAACCGGGTACCCAAAAAAGAAAAATACGAATATATAACATAATTACATTAGATCATTAGAAAATGTGTAAGATTTGTTTTGAATTTACAAAAATGTAGGTAACTTCCTTCAAAATTGAGCCAGAAGCTTCAAATAAAAAGCATTTTATGGCTCTTTTCTTCCTCTATCATCATGGTCATATTTTCATTGGTTATGGGGGGGGGGGGGTGCGATCGCACCATCGAACCCCCACCTGGCTACGCCTATGACATTGTAAGACGATTTGAAAAACATGACAAATCAATCTTACTCTTTTTTCAATAGTTCGTATGTTGGTACGTGAATTGTTATGATTATGATTTAAATCTGTAAATACAGGGTGTTCAAAAAAAACGCAACCCAAAGAAATCGCAATATCTTGGAAAACACTAATCCAATTATGTTCATATTTTCAGGAAACAAAGAAGAGACTGTGAATGTATAGCCCCTTTGTTAGTTAGTTGTAAAACATGATATCTTGGACACTTTCTCAAAAGACAGTTGTACTAGCAAAATATGAAAAACGTGAATGGAAAATCACTATATCTTGGAAAATATTAATTCAATTATGTTCATTTTTTCAGGAAAAGAAAGAAGAGACTGTGTATGTATAGCTCCTGTTGTCAGTAAGTTATAAAACATGATGCCTTGGACACCTGCTCAAATGACAGTTGTACTAGGAAAATATGAAAACGCAGTCAGAGGTGACTGCCACAGCAATAAAACCAAATAACTTTCTAACCACGGTGGCACTTCAGATTTGGCACAAGTTATCCTTGATTATTGACAATGTAATATAGTTCTGCAAGGCTTGGCATGACCGTGACAATGTAATATAGTACTGCAAGGCCTGGCATGACAGTGACAATGTAATATAGTATTGCAAGTTCAGGTATGAGAGTGGTAATGTAGAAATTTATGATAAGGACTGCTATAACAGTGACAATGTGTATTGCAAAGCCTGGCATGATCGTGGCAATGTAATATAGTACTGCAAGGCCTGGCATGGCCGTGACAATGTAATATAGTATTGCAAGGCCAGGTATGAGGGTGGTAATGTAGAAATTTAGGCTTAGTCTTACTATGACCGTTATAATGTATTGCAATGACTAGTAAATATGTATGACATTAATGCCAGGAATATCCTTAACAATTTTAAGTGATCGTCATTACAATTAAACAGTTTAATTCTATGATCATGGTGTTTAACTACCTCAAAATCAAAATTAATATTCACATTCGCTTATAAACCACAATAAAGGCTACGGTCGTGCCAGGCTTCCACGATAACACTTCCAGGGTCATGACAGGCCTTGCAATATAATACAGCGTTGTCACGGTTATACCAGCCTGTCACGGTTATACCAGGCTTACACAATAACACTACCACGGTCATGGCAGGATCCTTGCGCTACTTAAAAACACTTATTATTACCTTCTTCTAAGGCCAATTGTGGCCTTCCAGTACAGATATATTCCCGCATGAACAACTGGTCATGTCGTCATCATAAAATTTGAAATCATATGTCCGCCATTTTTCCACATCACAATTTGAATTGCGAGTTTTGGTCTTATTACCTCACCAAAAATTCCAAAACACACATAAAGTGATCAGTGTATTAGTTCACATCTTCTTGATCGCTAACTTAGAATTTACAGCCAGTTACTAATGTCAGACATTAACGACATTTCGTCCAGTTTTCGAACATCGCCATTTTTCTTGGAGCCATTTTAATTTAATTTTAGACGAAATCCTGATGAAATCATGTCATATCTCATCAAGGAGCTGAGCTGGGTCCTGTTTGATTAGTATAATGATTTATTTTTCTGGCGATTTTTAAAATATTCAATAAAATGACACCCCAGCCTGTAGTATGTATCCAACAGACCGAATATAATATTCGGTCTGTTATGATTGATATATTTCCTGTGGAAATCGCGGTGATATTTTTTGCACATTAATTTCTCGTTTATTATAAGAATGTTCACCTTGAAAATTGGTGAATATGTTGAAGAGATGTTCATCTCAAACTAGAAGCAAAAATATTTGTATAAGGCGGGTACAAGTTGATATAAAATAATGAAATGTTCAGACTCACCGAAACTTCAGGATGTGTTCATAAGTAGATCGCGAAATCAATGTCAAGGACGTTTGAGTTCACGAGATCCAAACGAGATATGCAAATTTTGAACTTTGACAACACATAACAACTTGATTACCTCGGCCTTCTTCATGAATATTTCCGCTCTATTTACTATAAATGAAGAAAATTAATCGGGATAATGATAATAAATGACTAGATCTAATAAATTCCCGCACAAATGGAATTTAGCAATACGCTTCCGTAATGTTGCTCCCGCTCCACGTGTTATTTGTTTACAAATAGACTGACGTCACTGGCTAAATCTCGTTTATCGTGAGAATTGGCATTGCCAAAATGGCTTGACCTAATCAATGGCTTCGCTACAAGAAGCGTCTGTACATTTTATGAATATCTTCAGTAAGAGGACAATATACGAAAAAATAATATTGTGAGTTCTTTATAAGGTAATCATTCTATCATTAAACAAACTTATTTGTAACATTTATACAACACCACATTTTACAATAGGTGACTTACAGTCTGAATATTTATTCAGACGAAGGATACAGTCTACCCCAGCCTGGGCAGCCAGCTTTTTTCAAATAGAGTTCACAGTATTCCAGATGAAAACCCCTCTAGCCAAGTATTGGCTAGAGACTCGAGTAAACTTATTACATGGCGATGGTTGCTGCAGGCGTAAGTCTTGCAATAGATAGCATGTGGAAAATCTGTAAGTCACTTAGACGGGGAACACCGCCTCTAATGCGTTGGATTGTCGTATGGACTTGCAACACGATCCTCGGAGAACCAGAGGGTGCATGAATGCACCTACAGTTGGGGACAAAAATAAATGACAGGTCGATTTTCGATCACCATTTCCTAATTATGGTGGTCTGAAAGCCCATAATTTCCAATATTGTCTGGATACATATCCCTTAAAATTTGTATATTTTACATTTTGTATAATCTCATCCACTGATTTATGGCCTCTTGTAAATTCTCTTATTTTTAACATGGGAAATCCTCACTTCAGCAAATCCACATGTCATTTATTTATGTCCCCAACTGTATAAGTCACACAGCTCAAACTTTGAGTCAAAGTCAAATGTCAATGTTGTGATTGTGAATGTAGTTCCCAAGTTGACAGGCCTGCTTTAGGCCTATAGATCAATCAGCAAAATCAGTAACCTTTTGGTTTTGGTATCACCGATACAAGTTCCTCAGTTAATATATAAGGCGAGTTAACATAGTTTATAATGTGTTACTTACCAGGAACATTCTGACTTTAGAATATTTCACTTCTAGACGGTGAACACCGCCTCTAATGCGTTGGATTGTCGTATGGACTTGCATTAGACGGTGAACACCGCCTCTAATGCGTTGGATTGTCGTATGGACTTGCATTAGAGGCGGTGTTTATCCTTGTAAATTCATGCCAATCTAAGTTTTTCTTGATTATTTTTGACGGTTCACTTTAGTTTAATCTTCTGCTTAAATCTCTGCGTCATTTACAGAGAAATATAAACAAAATGGATACATTGATGATTTATACAAAAGATTACCATATCTTTGTGGCTGTAGAAGGTTGAATTGTGCTAATTTTGTAGCAAAATCGCCGTTTATCGCTAATGTTCACAAAATCTTTATGGCGGCTTCAGTTCTCACGAGATTTGACGAGAGTAGCCATTGAATATTGCTGCCATCTATGTTACTATACAGAGTTTATATCATTCATTCGACCATCATGTATTCGATGGAAGAAATCAATGATCTCTATTCGCATAACATAAAACCAAAGTTTGGATTTGATTTGAAGCCAGAACAGTTACAAGTGATAACAAACATATTGAATCAAGAATCCACTATAGCAGTTTCACCAACTGGTTATTGGAAAACATTACGTTACGTGATCATCAAATTACGTCACGTGATCATCTCACTGATTTATGCAACGCATGCGCACTTGAAATTAGGTCAGCGAAAATGTCAAGAAGACCGGTCGGAAATGTAATTTCGTCTTATCTGCAACGATTACACATAATTACTGTAATAAAGCGAAACATTTATTGGTTCATTTTGAAGATTTTTGGTCCCGCTATCCAGTGGTGAAAGAATTTTCAAGATCGAGGTAAGATCTTTGGAGAAAAGTCAAAAACATCAGATCCGGACTTTTCAGCATTTCTTAAATTTGATGAATTTACATTGCACGTTATGCACCCCTGGGTCCAACACGATCCTCAGAGACCCAGAGGGTGCATGAATGCACCTAACTTTAGAATATTTCACTTCCTGTTTCACCTTCGTTTAGATCTAGTCACGTGGGTAATTTAACCAATCAAAGCCTAAGAATAAACGTAATCCTGCTCACTAGCCGAAACAAAAATGAAGAAAATTTCTCTCTACATTATGCTACTTTGTTGTACATAAAAGGTAAAAATGAGATAGTTTGTTCATTGCCGCTTAAGATTAGACATAGGCGCATATTTTGAGGTAGAGTTTGTTAAAATTTACGCAAAGACAATGTCAAAATCACGACCACACCCTCGGTGTCGAAATTTTATTTTTCATTTCTTCAAGTTTTTGTTTATTTTTTCTTCTAAGTCTTACTGTCAATGTTGTGGTGATTTGTCGATGATTTACTGCAGTCTCCTTGCGGTTGTACTTGGTCAACCAACTTAATATCGAGAAAGAGAAGTGTGACTTTGTGAAAGGTATAACTTACTTAGTTTGCACAAAGCTATCTCCTGAGAAATAGCTTTGCATATGTTGATATATCCATGTTAAAGGTCTTTTACAAAAATGTAAGAAATCGTTGGAACACTTACCCTACTTCAATCGATGCATAAAATTCAAAAGTATCGTTTTCCTAACCATATCACGCGATCTGGAGTCGGGAGACATTATAATTGATGAAAAATGTATTTGGAACTTGTTATTTTCCATGTTTTCTACAGTTGGGGACATAAATAAATGACAGGTGGATTTGCTGAAGTGAGGATTTCCCATGTTAAAAATAAGAGAATTTACAAGAGGCCATAAATCAGTGGATGAGATTATACAAAATGTAAAATATACAAATTTTAAGGGATATGTATCTAGACAATATTGGAAATTATGGGCTTTCAGACCACCATAATTAGGAAATGGTGATCGAAAATCGACCTGTCATTTATTTTTGTCCCCAACTGTAACCAGAAAGTCTCGCCGATGCGCGATAACCGGAAGCGGAAATCTCATGGCATGGAGGCGCATGCGCATTACTCAACTTCCTGAAAAGCCATCTTGAAAATGATCAACTCCGATCAGATTTTCGTCAATATATTTCCTCTTCCACTCCGGATAGCCCGATATGGTTAGGAAAACAATACTTAAGAATGTTATACATCGATTGAAGTAGCGTGTTTCCAACGTTTCTAACATTTTTACAAAAGACCTTTAAAATGGACTGGGAATATCAAGTTTTGCATAGCCATCAATCTAAATGATGGCTATGTGCAAATATAGTAAGGTATAACTTGCACTCAATCCCAGTTTTTATTTGGATGGTGTTGTTGGCGGCGGTCGGCGTCTGTAACAAATGAAATCATACTGATAGGCTAATTTCTGCAAGTTTGTTTGAGGTTTCACAGACAGCTATGGTATTTTCCCTGTTCATTCATATGGTTTATAGTGTTTGAGAAAAAACACTAGAAACCTTTTTATCCCCTTTTTACATTTTGTCTGGTATTGTTTCGGACAGTCTTACCTTCTTCCAACACCATCATATGAGTCAATTGAACAGTAGTTTATTGTATAAAATGTAACTTATATTTTCAGATACAATACAGATAAATGACAATGGAGATACAAGTAGTTGTGCTACGTCCCAAACCGGGATCCTTACATCATCACCACGAGTTCCGGCCCAGGCTTTATGACATCCTACTCATAGACACCCCATTACCAACTGATAAAACAAAGACTTTGAAGCAGCTGCCAACTCTGAAAGTGCCATCAAACCAAGAGCCATCCTCAGCAATACTCAGCCATGTGTACCAGATCACAGGCGGGTCTAATGGAGGTGTGAAAGGTAAGAAGAAACATGTGGATTGGGGACAATGGAATCATGGTTTTCATTCTCCAAAATTCAGTAAATACAAATAAGCAATTGGCGCTTTTTATTGCTTTTTATGTCACCAGAGGTGGTGACATTATGCTCCTTAGTCAGAGCTCAATTCTGTCTATTTAATTTGAAGACTTTTGCATTCTACATTCAATATGATAAAATCCACCTCGCATCTTGAAATGCTCAGTGGATGTAAAGTTATCCTGAATTGATGACTGCTGCCAACTAACCTACCATTTACTCAAGTTGATATTTGACCTTGAACCTGTTTCCCCAATTTTAGTTAAAGTTAGCTACCTTTTTTGTGATTGGTCTTTGTGGCCTGTAACAATTGTTACACTTTTACCACCAGGTGATGATATTTTGTTGTGTTGTGCACACATGGAAAGAAAATTATAATGTAAGCAATGATATTATTCACCTTACATTGCATATGTTGCAAGGGGAGGGGGGGGGGTTCTTTAGTATTTAAGATATGATTTACCCCTATTACTTATGTTGCAGGTCAAAGGGTGCTATATGTTCCTCCTCCCACAATGAACTCGAGGGGGTCAGTGACAATCACAGAGTCCACAGTTCTACAGTCACAGTATGGACTTTACTTTATGCCCGTGGATTCAAAATGTAAGTACATAGAAAATAATATTTTCAAATTTTTCAAACTTCACAGGGCATTATATTATGTACTTGTATATCATTAAGGTGATGCATCTACCAACTAGAAGCAATTATTTTGCTTTAAATTGAGTTTTAAGACTCATTATGCCATGGTCAAATTCGCTTTAATTTTCAACACCGGCACATGGTTGATGAGTATTTTGTTCAAAATTGAATCTCATCAGTCAGACACTAGTACTGAAAAACGGAGCAAATGTGACCGTGGTATTTGTCAATTCTCCTTTTTTGTAATTTTTAGTGTACAAGTCAATATAAAGGTAATGTAGGTCAGAGTCCAATGAATTTAGGATTCATTTTGCATTACATCAAATAATGATGAGTCAATTATAAGATTATCTATTCTACTCAACCTACCTTAAGTGATATTGTATTCTAGCTACAAGCCCCTGTGACCCCCCCTTCCACTACTTGACTACACACCAGGGGGGGGGGGGCTCACAACAGGTTGTAGCTAGACTAGTGATATTATAATATACACATATATATTTTATTCTTTTGTATGAAAGGACTTTTCAAATTCTCATGTATAAAAATTGCGATCCCAGATTGTCACATTGCATTCTACCAGGGAAATTGCATTATAATAAAGAAAACTTAAGATAACAAACATTATGTCAATAAATACATTTGCTTATTCTATTCTAGTAATGGATTGTAATTTGTAATTTCTTTAAAAAATCATGGCCATATGACAGGTGTCATTGACCAATGACCGCATGTATTTACTTATGAGTTTTTCAAGTAGACTTTGAAAAAAATACTTTATGCATACTCGTTTGTACAACATACAGTTTGGCTGTTTAAATCTTAGTGATATAAAATAACCATTTTCCACAAATCAAGATAATGTTCTTTATTGCAAATTGAATTCATTGAGTTCATGTTATTGTTTAAAACAAGATCCTTTGTATAATAGATGTAAGAAAAGTACTTATAACAATATAATGATTATTTGATTTCAGATAAATTAAACTCCATAATTGGCAATACCTCCCCCACCCCTGCAGGATTCTATGCCCTTGACTTTGTACTAGACTCCTGCAATACAAGCAACTATGCCCAGGTCAGCAAGCTAATGTTACAGAGACTGGAGAGGTAGGAACATTATTATGAATGGTGTTAGAGGGCACATATAGATGGCACTATTGATCTTATCTTTCTTTTTCATTGGTTTGTGTTTATATATTCCTATTTTAAAAAAAACATCGAGTTTAGGCCATCTATTGATAGTCCTCATTTATTTATTGTTGAGCAGTTTTCAGGTTTATTTTAGTTTTACTACAGACAAAGTGCAAGGGGCAATATCTATGAATAAATCACTATTGAAAGTAGTAATAGCATTATTTGCAATGCTCTTCCCAGCTAAGGACTTTGGAAAAACTTTCATCCTGAAAATTCATACCCACTCATATGAAAATGGGCAAAATTATATTTTGACCAATCATGGCATCTCATGTGATAATGAGAATTTATCACCCTCTCAGGGTGATAAAAATCCTGAATACTGAATTCATAGATTTATTCATTTTGATATTTTACACATTTATCTCAGGTTTACATATAGATGTGTTACATATGTTATGTAGATGACAATACTGTAGCTAGTGTTCATTCTTTCGTTAAGTTTGTAACAGTACTGTTAGAATTCATTTATAGATGTCAGTCTTATTCAAAACAAGTCAATATTCTGTCCATGCAAAAGGAGGAGATAACCCATAGTTCATAGAATACAATAGAAAGTCAAATTAACATTAAGATGATATGTTATCTCTGCACAGGCCCATAGCAGAGGGGGGGGGGGGTCAAAAGTTCTTTCAAAATCATGCAGTTTTCACTATTTTTAGTACTTTTCAATTGATGTAAGGCCAAAATTATCAAATTTGTACCCCTGATATTTTAAAAGATCAACCTCCCTCCCTTTTGGTAAAAGCTCAGGCCCGTAGCCAGGATTTGCCAAGGGGGGGTTCACTTTTTTTTGAAAATTCCAGGGGGGTTCACTTTTGACAATTTGGCTCCAAAAAGGCCCAAAATCACTAAAAAAGTGCTCAGAATGGTGAAAAACTGCATGATTTTGAAAGAATTTTTGGCCAGGGGGGGGGGGGTTTCGCCCGAACTATGCGAACCCCCCCCCCCCTGGCTACAGGCCTGAAAGCTTGTTGTGGGCCTGCTACTAAATAGATAAATTTGAAAATATTTAGGATTCATAGTTCAAGGATTTGGTCTGTTCATCCATATTTACTTTCCCTGGATTTGTTTTATTAAGTAGCAAAGTGTTTATCACACATTTAATGTTCAAACATAGATTTTGATTCTAAGATCTTGTGTCTATACTTCAACACATTTTGAAATGTTTAACTTTTAAGAACAACTCACTTCCAAAGTTTGATGTGGTAAGAATGATTTATTACAAGTTTATATTTGAATAAAATAGAAGAACCAAATTTGAACTCGATGGATCATTTTTGCCATATTTGGTCTTAAAACTAAATGTACATTTTCAAAACATGAACAATAAAATAAGACCAATATTGCGACTCCCATTCCTCTTGAAAGCCCACCAGCATTTCCTGAAGCACAAATGTAAGATTTCTGTAAGTTCATGATCAAATGCGCCATCTATTTGTGCTGACATGGCAGATCATCACTGCTACAGTCATTGCTACAGTTTTCTTTAGTTTCACTCCTTTCTTTGTCACATATAAAATCTGAACAAATTCCTCCAAGATCAGAGCTGAAATATGAATAATTCTGGTCTGAATTGAATAGTTACTGCTCTTTACAAGTAGTTGTAGTAAGAGATAAGTTCAAATGTAAGCAGTTTTGAAAAAAAGTTAATCTCAATATTGTTGAATCTCCCCCTACTCCCCAACATATCATAATTCTTTTAAAGGCCCCATATAAAGTTTAAACCAATTTGGCTTATATTTTAGTCTTCCCCAATGTTATCATAATGTGATTTGTGAAACTTTGTTTTTAGATTTCAAAAACTTCCTTTTTAAGACCTGGTGTGGTATTTTGAATTTTTAGCCTTCAATTTTTTTATTCCATCAGATAAAATATATTTTTTTCTGTTTTATGATAATTTATGGTCCTTACTCTGTTAAAGGTAATTGTCTGCCCCTTGCCATGAAACAAGCTTTCTTCATACAGTCATAAAATATGTTGCTGCATTCGGGAGTTTCTTGGGCATTAAACCTGCTACATCTGAAGTAGATGTAAGGGAGGATATACATTGATTAGTACTATATACAGTGAAACCTGTTTAAGTGGAACACATTTGGTACTTCTAAAAAGTGTTCCACTTGTGAGGTGTTCCACTTATAGAGGTTCATTTAACATTAAGTTAGTTGGTATCGTGTTCATATTTCAAGGTTTCTCTAACCAAGGAGTCAATGGGATATTACAAAATTAGGACTTAGGAAAAGTATTCATAATGAGATGTTTTCGGATTACAGAGGTGTCCATACACCTGTTTTACCATATTATTAATAGCAGGCAGCTGATATTTTCACTATATAGGAAATTGAATATTATATTAAAAAACTATTCCCTCCTTGAATGTTATTCTTGATTAAATGTAATGTACCTTTTTAAAGCTACCGTATAACCCTCGCATCCATTGCACCCTCCAGTGAAGTTGAAGCATTCAACTCCTGCTTGTTCAGCAGCCCCGCATTCTCCACATAGCGCTTTATATCCAGTGACTGCAGACAGTGGGCTTATCTCCTAGTATAACAGAAGAATAACATGTTTTGAAATGCATATTGTGATATGAAATGAAAAAAAACATGAGTTTAAAGAACACATTCGATGGCTAGTTATTTTAAACACAACATTTAATCTTGAATTCTGTTATGACAAATCCAGTGTACCCGTGTTTCAGCTTGAATCCACGATCCTTCAATTACCATACAAATAATCGACCATCTGAACTCTCTGGGCCAGTCAAGTTAAATTTTAGAAATTGAATATTTACCAATTTATTTGTTGTGAAGCATCTATCAGTGGTTGTACCTGTTTCCCCATAGCAGGCATTGCAGCATAGGGAGATTTCATTATAGTTTTTGTCCTTCACACACACACTGCATTGGTTTATATAAGGGAGCCCTTTGTGAAAGAAATTGTAGTCATTGAATAAGATGTAATACCATGAATGGAAAGGAGAGTGGGGACAATAGGTTTAAGGCAATATGGGAGGCTAGGTCTATGGCAGGGAGTGACATCAGGCTCCTTTAGGAGACAATGGGATATACATGTAGTTGATATGGCACATAGCCTCACTTGAACCAATTATATAATTAATCAACATGAAGGATGTGTATTTGTAAATAAATATACTCCTCTGACATGATCATTCAATCCACATACAGTAGTCCGTGTGGTGCATTCTGAGGGTTGTATATCTATTCTTCAACATTTATCTGTTCTAGTTTCTGGATGTGAATGCAGTTAAAGCAAGGCACACCATGCCATATATTAATGCCTAAGTTATTAAATGAAAAAGTAATTCATTTGATCTTAAATTTTCACTTTGAACAAGTGAACCTTGTATTTATCTGTAAACAACATTATATTATTTAACAAGTCAATGCATATGAATAAATCAAATTGATTTAATGTTCAGTTCAATGACATATTCCACGAATATACAGGGTGTTTCATATGTATGCACCCCCTCTAAAATCATATATGTTGCATTGCCACCCTATCGTGTTATACATCATTTATTCCTCATAAAAAGTTACATTAGATTGCAAAGTTTCAGAATCCAGGGGTGTCCTTGAAAAAAGATACAACATATCAAAGTATGTGGGTACAGGGTAATTTGTATGGGCCAACTCTTGTTTGCAAAATATGAAAGGCAGTAGAGTAAATCAACTGGGTAATGTAAAATTAATAATCTTAATTTCATATATTTATATTTTGGACATGATTCTTGGTCCAACCTGTATATATGACATATACTGTATAAGTTATTTGTTTTAAGGTTTGTGTATGAATATTTATATATTTGAACAATTGATTTACTCAACAGAAGAAAGTAACACCTTAAGTATGAAATCACAAACAATGCATCAGTTTATGATGAATATATTTTTTAGATTGATGGGAATATTATTGCTTATATACTTGTCACAGCTTTGTCTATACTTCTTTTAAAATAGTGAACTGAAAAGACTTTTTTCTAGATATTATACACATGGTGTTTATCAACATACATGTTCTGCCTTTTCTGATTACAGGTAGATTACAGACCTCAATTATTTTTATCAATATTTCTTATTATTTTGGGAAAAGAATGTTTTACTACTGTAACTTTTGTTATTAAAAGGAGGAGAATTCACGTATTTTTCCGAAACTTTATTTTTTTCAAAAATATATAATGATATTGAAAAAAAAGTTTTCACAGGTTCTTTATGTCTTTTTTATGTCATTTAGAGAAGATATCATTTTTGGTTTCCAAGTACTTTGTGATATTCTATGTGAAACTGAATGTGAACCTTATTTTGACAAAAGTACATAGCTTGTCTATTCATGTACATTATATTGGTTTAATTTGACGACTGTTATAACTTTGCGGGTTGATAAAAACCACCACATTATGTCTCCGCCATCTCTTTTAATTTTTCCCAGTCCACCAAATTAAATACTGCTTAATTAAAGCAATTAACAGATTAGCCCAAATTTTAATTATGATATATACTTACTTTTGTTGCAAGTTTCTTCGCACTCGATGATTTTTTTAGATTTACACATACATTTTGTACATTTGTCTTTCCAAAATTCAAAACCGCGTCGAACAATCCTATTCTCCCGATTCTGCAGTGTCACATTACACTTTCGGCATGATGACTTCATCGAACATCTTCTCTTTCCATTTCTTCTGCAGCGACATTTGTTGCAACGATCTCTTTTACTTATCCAGATGTCTGTTGTGTGTAACTGGCCTTCTGTATCATAGCATTGTCGGCCTGATGAAGAGGGAACACAGTATTTGTAACGTTCATATCCCTCCACCAACTTTGAAGTACATTTTTGGCCCTTGGGACATGCCTCATTAATACAACTCTTAACCTCTCCATTTTCATCCCTTATTGCTTCGTCACGTATCAGAGCTTTCGTAATTTCCCTATCTTGACAACATGCCTTGTCTTCACTATCACTGCACCAATATGTATATGGGCAGTTGTGTTCACTTTCTCTACAGTGTGCTGTTGAATGTTTGGTATAGCATTCTCTACTGTGACTCACGTGGATTTGCTTACAGAATATCACCATAGTGATAAACAAGATATACTCCTTCCGAGTCATCGTGCTATTGTAGATTAAATTTATCATGCTATAATGATGCTGTTTCATAAAATACAAATAAATTGTTTAATAGATATAATGGATGTGTTAATACAACTTGGTAGTTTAGAAAGTAATTCTGATTTTGATTCATTGCCGTTTGTACAGTAACAGAAAATAATATTGACAGTGAAACAGGTTATTATGATTAAATGATAAAAATACAATGACATTTGAAATGATAATTAGAATAGAGGAGTTTAATTTGTGATATAATTGTACATTAAAGCTGAAAATAAATGCAATTTATTTTAGTTGGCAGCTTTAGCAATTACGTAACTTCATTGTAATGTGTACAGAATAGGATTGTTATGTCTCATAAGTGGATTTATTTTGAACTTTTGTGACTTGTTCTGAGGGATGGGTATTTATTGTTATTCTGTAATACAATTCTAGTTCAATATCATATTTTTTATTACTGATTTCTTATTTTGGCCTTTTGGATGTGAAAACCATCAAATTAAATCATCATTCAATTTAGATCAATACCATGTCCTTCTATAAAGGCTATCATTATTTGACACTCCTTTCATTGGTCAGTGTCGCACCCAAACAGGCTCAAGCTACCAAGACACACTGCTTGCATCAGTGAGGGTGCCACCGATCACCTATACCTGCAAACCACTGCCCAAACAGCTAGGGCGTGGCAGGGTATCAGAGAAGCATCTTTGCTTGCTCATAAGCTGTGAAAATGTTTAACCACTCTGTTTTAATAGCATCAGCGTTCACATTTTGATAAACTGTTTGCACCACTGATTTTGATTTTCTTGATAACCTAGCTTATTTTTTCTCGGGACATTTAAGACATGTTTCTTTATCAAAGTAACTTTTCCAAAAAGCCAGCAGCCCCCTTCTCTTTTCAATCCCTCGGTAAAGAGTGGTATTTGGCATTGATCGAAGTTCAAGATCATCTCTTATTATTAAGGAAGAAAATGTAAATGAGGGAGTCTATTACAGCACATAATAACACCAAACTTCCTGTTCATTGAGAAAAGTTGCTTTTCATGTTTACAGTATTGATTTTAGGAAAATTGAACATCAACAAACCGTCAACGTTTCAATAGGGGATTGAATAGGTTTGGAAGCCGTTGGTCAATATGTCAACTGATTAATGCCCAAATATGGCAGTCTCTTTGTAATAAAATGTTTGACCATTTCATTTGTCACATTTTCATGGATTTAAGAACAATTAACAAGAACTTAGGCAATTAATTATTACATGTATTCCTGTGAATTTGTAATAATCAAAATATATATGTTTTAAAGGAGTTTGTGTTTCAGAAAATTAATGTTCCGTTGATGAATCGTCAAAATTCTGCAAGAGCTCAATACTTCTTCCGGCATTCATATTTTCCCAAACTCACATTGCATATATTCACAAAAGGCTAGGTTCATTTTTCATGTTGAACATATATTTTGGATTAAAATGCAACACAAAACATTAACAGGATACTCAGTACATTTAAAATGCAAGTAATAGACAATATGATGGGATTCAAACTAATTTCCAAAGTAGGATGAACCCAGCATTCATGAAAATAAAGTTTCACTTCAGAACAAAAAAGGATTATAAAGTCAAGGATAACATTTATTGACTGAGTATAACTGTGTTTACATGATAAGGCAAAACACTTAATGGAGGTGATCATCAACTTATAAAATCAACAGAAAAGACAGCCTTGGATTTGTTGTTTCCATCCAATATTCTGATTTGCAATTCAAATTACAGTTTTTGTCTCAACTCAAGTGAGGTTTGAGATTTTATTGATAGATATGAATACAGAAGTGGCCAGTCTCTATATAACATACAAGGATAATATGCAAAACTAGTGGTTGCATTAAATATCGGTAAGTTTGAAATTATTTTAGATTTTTATGTTATCACATAGTGTGACATAAGCCATTCACATTTACTAGACCCCTCTTATCTGAGATAGAGAAATCAAGACAAAGGATGCATCGTGATGAGATATAGGTAATGCAGCGGTTTCATTAGAATTTCTCACAACAGGCTAAATAAATGAAAACAACAGGCGAAATTTATTGAAATCATAAATTTAAAAGGGGAAAGTTGAAAAGTCCCTAAAAACAACAGGCAATTTTGTGAAAACCAGTGAAAATTGCCTGTTGCCTGCTGCTAATGAAACTCCTGTCATGGTTACTATTTTTCTGTGATCAGTATGCAGAATTGGTGTTTATAAGCACATTTTGTCAGTCAGTATTTGTAACAGTTACATTTTTTAACTATTTGCAAGAACTTAATAGGTGAGATTTTATGTTTAAAATGCCTTGTTTATAAATGCTTGTGATGTTAAATATCTGTGATTATGAACAATATTCCCAATGAGATAGAAGGACACACAAGGAGTATGCATTCAGCATCTGTAACAAATAGCAGGTTGTGACATTTTGCATGTTTATGCCTTAATGTTATTCTAATGTAACATAGTGTTCTAACATTGGATTTGAAATGTTCCTATTAAATAAATATATATCATTCATGTAGAATCATATCATGTAATCAATGCCCTAGTTAGTTGTTTATCTCTTCATATCATAGTTCTCTGATTTATATTCATTTTCTTTTTCGACACTTAGCTTTTAGGAAGAGAGGCATTCGTTCTAGGTGCATCTATCAGTTTATACATGTACATGTAGTTTTGAATACAGTTTAACTGTATAAAATGCAATCAGGAAATGAAGGTTTTTATTTCTTTTCTATATATGATATAGAGTATGCAGGCTGTAGCCAGGATTTGCCAAGGGGGTTCACTTAATGAAAAATTCCAGGGGGTTCACTTGTGACAATTTTGGTCCAAAAATGGTCAAAATCACTTAAAAAGTGCTCAGAATGGTGAAAAACTGCATGATTTTGAAAGATTTTTTGGCCAGTTTTTTGTTCGAACCCCCCCCTGGCTATGGGCCTGATATGTATAGCTATTGTTAAAATACTTTGTATACTGTACTTGCAGCTGGTTAAAAGACAAGTTGTCATCACCACATTGTTTCAATGTAATGTTCGCCACATCAGCTCAAGACAGATTGAAACGCACAGTAAACAACCCAGCATTTGAACCTGTCGAGATGCCTTATGGTGCCCACCACCCCAAATATGGGAAAGATGCATTTATTAAAATGCGAGCAGTAGAAAAGTGTGATATTGTTATACAGAACCAAGCTTTCAGAGATAGAATGCGCTCGAGGGTAGGTTACTTAATGGATTCTATCAAAACGAAAAAAAAGCTATTCATAATTTACTTTAAACTCTGTTGAAAGAAAATTTTTAAAATACATTGAAAGAGCAAGGTGCTCTTTCAAATTATCATAATGAAAGTTTAATTCTAAAAACATTTATTATTTTATTTTCAAAGAAATAGCATCTAGGTGAATTGAAGTATTATTGAGCATTAGGTAGTTTTATCCCTTCCTCTGGAACTATGTTTATTTATACATTGCTTTCTATTTGGAATTTTGACTTGGCAAAAAATATCTATGAATATTTTTCCAAATTATACGTATATAGCTTATGTTGACTGTAAATGTGTATTGTAGCCACAGAATGAGCGAAGGGTTCCCCCTGCGATACCTTCTACAAGTCATGACGTCACACAAATGCCAAAATCCCACAACAGCTTCAGAAGGTATTAAGTTATTTAATTGGTCAAAATCTACTAATTTTTTAATATTCTCAGTCAGTCTAAGTATGTATGAGACAAACAAATCCAGGAATTTTTCAGATTTATCAATATCTGCTAATCTAACTCTTACTACTCAGAGATTTTGAATCAGGTCCATTGCTATTTTCAAATGATCAACGGTGTACAGTTAAATTCAAAAACAACAAGTCAAGTATGTTCAGATGCCAAAAATGTTGAGGCTCTCAAATCTTTTGGGACAAGTACATTCAAGAAGTTATTCAGTTCCCGGACCACTGTATGTTTTATTCATCTAATAGCCACTAAGTCCAAGTCAAAGTTTGTAGAATGGCTTTATTTCCATGTCATTTAAACTCTAATGGTTCAAATTACAGCCTTCGACAGAAGTTATGTAAACTATTTATTACAATTCATTCCCAGCAATTGTTGCACACGAGTCTGCATTTATAGTCCTGGTATGACTGAAAAGCCTGAATAAAATGGACAACATGTACAAATCGACTCAAGTTTTGTGCATGTTTTCTGGTTTAACATGGGGCTTTTGGAAATTGCATGGAACAAGCCTCGGTTGAAGCTATGTTTATAGAAATTAGTAAATATTATCTTGTGAACAACACTTGTCCATTTATTTAGGACTCGTCATAGCTTTCTTTACTAATATTGTATAACTCAGGAAATAGCGTCAAATGTTGAAGACATTGGAGTGCCAATACAGTACATTGTAAATACCACTCAGGAAATGGAAAATTTATGTTTCAAATATTCTATTTCCATTATACTGGTACATTCTATATCCGTATCATGTATTTGAGTACAATAGTTTTGCAGTTACGATAGTCTTCTTCAAAAATATAACATCAGTAGGCAACCCATATTAAATCACCCAAATTTGAGATTTTGAGTTCAGTTTCTTGAAGTCCAGTATGAGTATAGTATATGAAGATTCATTACGTAACATCCTATGACCAATTACATTAGAAAAATGGATTTACAGTACACTTTGAGTTAAGGATAATCCAATGTGAAAAGCTGATCAAAGTGTTCCTTGAATAGAGAATCGAATTCAACATTTTTCAATTATAACAGTAACTCATTGAAGTATTTTATTTTTATAGATTAGTTTGCATGACTTGAAATGTTGTTTATTTGCATAAAATTCTCATGATGTTTTTAGAAAATCTTGAAATATTGCATAATTCAAGTAGGAAATTCAAGTAGAAAATTATTGATATAACAGCTCAAAATCCCCACATTATGAAAGTTTATTAAATATTATTATTTCACTGGCATTAACAAAGAAGAAATACAACTTGAGATTGAACTGCATGTTTCAGTACAGAAAATCTGTCAAGTATAATACCTCTATTAAGTGGAACACTTTTCACAGTCAGTGGAATACCTCCTGAGTAGAACACCTTTTATGGCTTCAAAAGGCATTCCATTTTCATAAGTTTTGCTGTTTGTGTAAACTGCAGGAATAATAGAGGGCAGCGTAGTATTTCGTCAGTCCATAATTTGTATGTACTCCCCCTTCCATTTTCCTATCTCACTATTAGTAGCAAATTAAGGTGGGTCTGACGTTGGACATGTTCTTACATACAAGCTTACATGTAGAAAGTTCATTCAAAGCGGCCTACCTTAATTCAACATTAGAAGATACCATTCTTCAAATACAAGTAATATATCCTTATATTTTAAATTAGTCAGATATTGTTCCATAAATTTTTTTTCTTTATAATTTTTTTTTTGAAAAATGTCCTGTCCAACTAATGTGTATCTCAACAGTGAAATATTTGATGAAAATGTAATTTGTGTGGTTTTTAGCAATTCAAGCTGGAAAGAAGAATTCCCCCTCCACTACTGTTCTTACATGGGAGATACCAAGGGAGTGAGGGATATCCTTGCTAGTGGAATATCAGCCTCACAGAAAGATAGGGATACCTGGGCCCCTATACATTACGCTGCTTGGTAAGTAGTGATATGTCAAATCAGGCATATTTAGATTAATTGTTGAAATGTAAAAATAGAGGGATTTCATGTTTTTCTCTCTCTCTCTATGCTTTCTCTGTGACTTATTGTAATATACAAGGGGTGATCATAAAATTCTCATAAGAGATATTATGAGAACTTTATGATCACCCCTCTTACATGTATTTATGTTATATAATTCTTAATTCTTAATTTTTCAGGCAGGGCCACTTAGATGTGATAAAAGTTCTCTTAGTAGAGGGACATTGCTCTCCAAACATCACCAACTCTAATTTATCAACCCCTCTACACTTTGCCAGCATCAATGGTCGACCGTATGTAGTAGAACTACTTCTCAACCATCAAGATATAGATATAGTAAGTATATTACACGTATATGTTATGAGGGGATCTGGATAATTGAGCTTTATTCAGATACACATTTGAATATTTCTTGGGTCCTCTGATTGGCCATCAACTGATCCTTAGTCAGGGTTCTTTCTTGTTTAACCTGAATATGTGAAAAGTGAAAATGATGAATAAGTTGATGGATATGAAATAGAAATATATATCGAAACATATAAGCTAATGAATCACCATGTATATTTTTTTTAGGTATTGTACTGGGTTACAGTATAATCTATTGTGTCTAAATGTTGTGACTTATACAATTGTTTTATTTATAATGATACATTGTAACAGTATGCAAAAGACAAGAATAAGAAGATGGCCTTTGATCTTTGTAACTATGGCGACACTGCAGAACAACGAGCATGTGCCCTCTTACTGGAGGTACCTACACACAGACCTGTAAGCGGCGGCCATTAATCAGCTGACGAATCCATTTTGTTTCTGTAATGTTTTATTTGTCTGAGTGAAAGCTTTGAAAATACAAGTGAAATGGGCTGTCTATTTGTGATAAATTTGCATTTTAAGGTTAAATCTTATACCCTACCTGTACACTGGGATAAGAATGTAATTTTTTTACACTTCAAAGTTTCTCATAAATAAAAAAACATTGAGAGACATCTGGTGACAAATATGCAATAATGTTATAGGTAGATCCTGACTGACTGCATGAAGCAAATCCTCTGCCATTCTACTAACCAAACTTCAGTTTTTTAGCTGACATTTTAGCACTGACACACCAGTTTTTGTTGTAGCCTATACTTGGATAAAATGACTCAGATATAATCAATAATATGCCTAAATCATAAGCATGAGCATCCAACTGTGTTTGAAAGATAGCGTAAATCCAATTTCATGATTTCTCTTGGATTTTCTTCTTTATCTTATTCATCAAAGTATGTGACAAAAACTTCTTTGAGGTTCTTTGGAGAGTTCATACTAGTTGCATGTACAGTATACAGTCCTTTAATATCAGGGTGTAGCATAAGCACTAGTCCTGGACAATGTTCAATGAGTGCCACTTTAAACGAGCTTGCAATTTTTGCATATTCAAGAGAGTACCATGGCAACTGAAACTTATACTCGTATCAATTTCGATTGGCCAATCTGTAATCCACATGACACCCCCTCCCCTGATAGGAATGTAGATACATGTATATTTGAAATTCATTGTTCTGAGTGCTGTGTTGCATCTTGAGTGTGGTCATTATTATTAAATTGTTGAACTGTAAAACATGCTGATTTTACTGTATATGCATACATGTACTGGAAACCTACATTTGAGATGTATGTAGCTGTTCTGAACTTCCTCAAGATCACCTTAACAACACAGTTTCTCCCCAGTTTGCAGTATTATGTGACATTGTATTCTTTATGTTACACCTAAAAATGATTCATTTTGTTCATGGGGAAATCATAATGGAAAGTGCACTAGACCTTTTCACAACTACATTGCAGCCAAATTATATAGATTCACTTCTATAGATCGTAAAATAATCTAATTCCGAGAATGTAAAGAAATATGGCCAATGTAAAGCTTTTTAAAAATGCATGCTGTAAAATTTCACTTCTATAGATCGTAAAATAATATAAGTCCAAGAATGTAAAGGAATATGGCCAATGTAAAGCTTTTTGAAAATCCATGCCATAAATGTTCACAACTTTCAATTGCAAAATAATCTAAGTCCAAGAATGTAATGGAATTTCGCCAATGTAAAGCTTTTTGAAAATAAATGCCTTAAAAGTTTAAAAGTTCAGTAAGTGGGATGTTTTTAAATTTCTCGACTCGTCATTGTAAAGAAAAAAAGCTTTACTTCAAAATGACATAAATTTTTGTCCCTAAATCTTGACACTGATGCGCCAAATTGAGAATGTACTAAATCCAAGTTGAAAAATAAGGATTAGTTGTAAACCAGAATATCTAAACATACATCTTGTACATCTTTTTACCTGCCCAGTTAAGAAATATTCAGGGGACACCACTGGTACAACCTTACCATATGTGTATGACATGCATGAAGTAAAACCCTCAATTAACCTAACCTGACCTGAGATAGCCATATTAGATAGTACACTAACTGCCTGTTTTCCACCGTAGAATGCACGTGATGTAGAGAATAAAACAGCCCTGATGGCATGTGAGAATGTTGAGCGAAGTGAGCACAAAGCATGTTCCAAGCTGCTCCGACAATCAGAGCGTGAGCATAGGAGTCGACCTGTAAGTTTACAGCAGAACATACTTGTGAACTTTTTGATGAATTTTGGAGCTTCATATCATTTTGTATGCTTTTAATTCCAAAGAATATTGATTTCCCCCTCTTGTATTTCCAAGATTAACAATTCCCTTTTGAATTTGTTTTTAGTACGTATTTAAAACATGTCTTTCTAAGCGTAATTTCCCCATTTTATGTTTCCATAACTGATTTCTTCATACTCTTTCCAGATATGTTTTATCCAAAAATTGAATGCTCTTGTATTTTTGATGATTTCAAGTATCCATTTCATTATTTAAGATTTAAGATTTCAAGATCTTCCTTAAAAATGATCTATAATTAATAACTAATACAAAACCATTTTAAGTGACTTGCAATATTATTTTAGTTTAGACTTTAATACAATCTTTCAATTACAACTTGAAGTTTCATCCATACAGTATTGCGTTGTGTAGTTGTGTTGTTTTCACATAGATTAAATGAGGATACCATCAAATTATTTTAGGCTCCAAAAATAGAAATCCGTCTGCTTGACAATACAGTACGACAGCTCCACCTAGTGTCAGGTCACAACACTACAGTGTTACAACTACATGAGCAAATGCTTCAAGTTCTTGAAATACCAGACAGCTGCAAACATATGTTTGCGTTATGGCTTTGTTCAAAAAATTTACGTAAGTCATCTTCATTATTTTTAAATAAAGTTTGTTAAAAATTTACTTCATTGTGAAAGTGACTCTGTGTATACATTTCAGTGTTCTTTTCGAAAAATTGTGCCTATCCTTGTTCCTTTTTTCATCTTAGATATGCATTGTGCCTCTTTAAATATTACAAAAATGCTGACAAGTGGCTCGAGCCTTTTTTTCATAGAGAAAATGTTATTCCTTCATTAAACCTTTATACCATTGATTAGACATCAATATGTGACTTTTTTTATACAAAATAATTATTTTCATGATTTTTATCCTTTCAGATTTACAACTAAAAATGGAGCATAAACCAATGGAGCATATTAAAGACTGGCGGGAAAAAGTTGTACGAGTTTTCTCAGATTTCAATCCTGCGGAGGAGGAACCTGTACTCTATTGGAGACGTGATGCAACTCTGAGCATCGTGGAGGAACGTAAGGTAAGAGAGGTAGGGCTCCATCTATTTCATTTTATAGGTAGGGCTTTGCTTTCATCGTGTTTTTCTTTCATCAGACTTATTATTTACAATTGTGTGTGCTTTATGCAACAAATCTCACCTTATGAATAATATCGCCATAAATGTACAGAAAAGGATGCACAGCATTATGAATAAGCACATAAATTAGCAATAGAACTGGGGTTGAGGTTATAGTCCTTTAAGTGAAAGATTGTGTAACTCATGGAATGTTTGAAAATGTGAAATTAACTTAATGAATTGAAAGAACCGAAAGATATATTTGTTTCTGGTGTCTTAAAGATACAACCACAAATATAGTATCATAACTACATGTGGATTAAAGTTAATGAATTTATAAATACTAATAAATGTAACTTGATACAATAATTTGTGTAGTTTGCAAAATGATTTCCATCATATTACAATTGTATGTTCCTGTACATGTCTATATGGAATGTCAGAGATGGTATGATTATTAATTAGTTAAGTATACTAATGTATATACCTATTTAATGTTAAGATCACATTACTATTATAAAGCTTTGAAACCTGAACCTGTACATGTATTTAGTTGGCTGTTTCACTTTTTCCATACATAATTGTACTGTATTGTTTGCACATATATAACATTCACCGAAGTGATCTAAGTTTCATGTCAAATTAATTTGATCATGTTGAGTGAAACATGATGACATCATGATGTCACCACCAAGAAGAGGTGGCATGTTGTTCAAGCAACCATTTTTATATGACTTGACTTTGTGTATTATGAAGTATGAAGTACATGTTATATGGCATGATTTTTATTTACTTTTAGGTGAAAAATAAGACTGCCCTACATCTGCTTTACTATGAGGCCTACCACAATTATATTGAATCCCTCTATCCCTGTGCCGACCAGGATGCCATCATATTAGGTGCCATATTAATGCAGATACGATTTGGTGATTTCGATAGTAAGAAGGCCAAAGAAATGTAAGTTATTTAAGTAATAAAGATTGAGATTCTATGACATGACCACATATTTATTCTGTTTGTTGCATAAATACCAGAAAATGCAATGCAATTGAGGTATTTTATACACATTATTAAGAGCTAATATGTACATTTGTATTTCTTTACAAAATGTGACCATTAACATGTGTTTTCAGTGATAAGATTCTCCCTGATCTGATACCTGTGGGAAAACGAAAAAGTCGAAGCGTGAACTATTCTGCTAGAATCACATCACAATACAAAGACTTCAGTGCCTATATGATGAGGAAGAAGCGAACTACAGAGGTAAATAGGATTGTTTGCTTGTGTATAATAGAAGCTGAAATATAATTACAATTCATAGAACAGTAAAAATGTATTCTAAGTTAATCATGTGCTCCGTGCCAGTTTCCTTGGTTTGGAAAAATATTTATACCATTATCTTTTCCCTAATATTTCAATAAATACCTTTGTCTTTCAGGTTTGTCTGTAATAGATGCCTCATGGTTTAATTATCATAAACATCATATGAAAAATGTACCCTAACTTGATACAGATATTTTTTTTAATGTTATTTCTTTTTCTCTAATTCAAGGTCCTTCAGCATAAGTTTCTGACCCTATGCTGGAACCTTACTGTGTATGGATCAGCATATTTCCATGGTCATGTCAAGATGAAGGAACGTAAGAGCCTCGTCCCTGTACATATTGCTGTCAATGATCTGGGTATTCATGTTATACACACTGAGAAAAAGGTGAGTTATGTACATGTTGTCCCTATATAGACTCCTTCACTGAAGGTTTAGACAAAATAATTCAAGCCCTATAATAAATGGGAAAACCTTTTTTTAGAGGTTATTCTTTATCACATAATACATCAGATTATTTTTTTATTATCATTTTAAGGATGGGCCAGGCCCCAAGAGTAGTTTTGCCTCCCTGAAAACATTTACATGTAATAGGAATATCTGAGAAAATAACAGGCCAATTTGTTTCATACACCCCCAAAATGCAATCTGATTTTCGACGCCGTTTCGGTGCCAAATTTCGGTGCCGTTTCGGCACCGAATCAACTGACTAGTCCGGTAGCAAATGTTGGTGTCGAAAGGTTTCGGTGCCGGAACGGTGTCGAAACGGTGTCGAGACAGGGCTGGAACGGTGCCGAATTTTTTCGATGCCGAAACGGCGTCGAATTATATTGGCTGTGTAGATGTTCTATATATCCATCATCTTGAAATAAGGACACATTTTTCTCAACTTCATTTTCAGAAACCAAGGATATGTATCAGAAGGTTGCAAGAAGTAAGTTTTGGCAATATAGTATGTTAGATTAAAACCCGCTGAAGGTAGTACACAATAGACCAAACAGTTGATTATTTTTCACGAATCTACAGCTACAGGGGGTCTGCGATGATTGCAATCAGGAAACAAAAGCAAATCTTTTGTTTAGTGAGTGCAATCACAGTGGACCCCCTGCAACTGTAGATTCGTGAAAAATAATCAACTGTTTGGTCTATTGTGTACTACCTTCAGCGGGTTTTAACTACTCCTGTTTTGTCATTTCCGCAATATTGTTTACAGGCATCTCTTTATATCCAATAGCGCTTTTTGTACGGTAATCCTTCTTTCTCTCTGCCACTCTTGTCGATATCCATATCAGATACAGGTTTTCCAAATCTAGTGTTAGAATCGGAGGAATATTCAGGCTCTGATATCATTTATGTCAGATGTTTCGACACTGTACCATAAATCAAATGTGCCAATTTCACTACTATCTATTTCATATTTACTCCTCCTATAAGTTCCCCAAGTAAGTTCTCAAGATCTTCATCCGTGTCGATATCTGTCAATTCCTTGAAGGTATCCTGAGTCAAGGTATCCATCCTTTCGTATTCCATGCTTCTTCTCGAATGTTCAACTAACTGTACTGAACATAGCGTTGACACCCTGGCGTTGACACCACGTACATACATGCAATACATACAAATCCAATACTAATCACCATTGCCCATTCAAATGATCACGGGTCAGTGCACTCACTACGCTTACTATAGTTCATTGAAAATTGGCTTTTACTAGAGCGTATAGGTTACTAAAGATTACCGTTTAGTTTGCATAGGTGACAGTGTATGGGTTTTAAGTTAGAGAAAACATTCGTGAGAGTTAATTCTTTGAAATTAACGGTTCGGCTAACGCCTCACCGTTATTTTCAAAGAATCAACTCTCACTCATGCTTTCTCTATAACCTAACCTAGTAGGTGTAAGAAAATATAAGGTGATGGGCTTTAAAGAAATAGTCTTATAGTACCCCCTGAAATTGCAGGAATTGAAGTCCAATTCGGCCGTGAAAATTGTTTTTACCACTTTAAAGCCCATCACCTTATATTTTCTAACACCTACTAGGTTACTCTAACATACTACATTCCCAAAAGTTACTTCTTGCAACCTTCTGGCAAAAGTGTGCCAGCATCTGATACAATATAAATAAAACATAAAGTTTGAAATCGGTTGACTCTCCTTTAAGGCAAACGTTTATGAACCATAAAGCTGAATATGCCACAACCAAGGGAAGCATTGCATTCTTCTCTAAATTGAAATAAGAGAAAAGCTATTTCATGAAAATATTTGATTGTGATGCCCTCAAGAAATATCCCCATGGCAAACGTTGGTTACAGGCTTAAATAACATTGAATGTTTTTCCAGTATATGCTGAATAGTTTTTCCTACAAGGACATGGAGTGGTCTGGTAAGACAGAAGACCACACATTGGTCTTACAGTTGAAGCAACAGCCCAAGGGAGGTATGCTCCTCAGGACAAAACAGGTAAGAGATTGTTCAGATAACATCTCACTTTACTAGTAATGACTCTAAGACATACTTTGACATGAATTATGAATGTGCTTCTTATGTTCTTAGAAACCCGGGCAATTCTGTGTATGAATTACATGTACAGTATATCTTAATTTCATGTATACAATTTTTCAAATAACTGATATATACACTGTACACATATGAAAAAAAATAAGTAAATAGTTTTGATTTTTTCAGAGTGGTCTAATTTCACACCTGATGTCAAAGCTGTCACAGTTAAATCCCTCGTCCAACCCATAGTCAGCCTGATATGGCTACCATCGGGTTAAGAACTGAATGCTTAGCTTATAGCCAAGTACTGCATGTAATATGCACCACCAAGCCAATGTCTTTCAACTATGACACAATGAACACATGATATTTTTTACACTCAGTCAGGATCAGCATATTCAACATCTTGTAACATAGCAGACTTGGAAGTGACAATTAGTTACTTCTCCCAATGAATATGCATTGGATTTAACAATTATATCAAGCACTGGACATGACAGATGTTGCTTGTGTTGAATTGGATACAGTTGCTCTCAAGTGTTGGGTATGATAATTGCTCCAAGCACTAGATATGAGAATTACTCCAAGCATCACATTGGATAGGATTGCTCCAAACAATCATTGGATATGACAATTACTCCAAGCATTGGATATGACAATTGCCCCAAGCAATTAGTCACAAGACAAATAGTGACATACATTGGATAGAACAGTTGTTCCAAGCAATTGATATGACAATTACTACAAGCATTTTTATATGACATTTGCCTAAAGCATTGGATATAGCAAGCAACTGCACCATGTATTGGATATGACAATTACTCCAAGTATTGGATGTGACACCAGTGCCAGTTTTCTAGGCCTATATGACTGTAAGTCAAAAGTTTTAGATTTTAAATGTTGGAGTTCAAGATGACTAAATCCATTGGAATCCATGTAATTCTTGTTTATTTTCGATTTCGCTTTCAGTCAAATAAGAATGACACCATGGAATTTCCTTCAAATAGGATTTTGTCAAGTTCAAGCCAACAATTTTGTTTCGATATGCACGGCAAGTAATCCAGAATATTTTTCTGCAATGTGTTGTGCCCCCATGATCGGCCAACACAAGTATGCTGCATCACCCTGGGCTGTCTGCCTGTTATATGTAATACCATAAGTTCAGCATGATGTGTAGTCTAGCTACAAGCCCCTTTGACCTCCCCTCCTACTAGTTGACTACACGGGTATGGAATTATGGAAACTTCTTACATTTGTGGGAGGTGTAGAGTGGGGGAGAAAGCCTGTAGCTAGACTACATAATATGAGTCTTGTGCGAGATTCGAGTGTATTGACATCCTGTATTCTTGCATCAAGTCTCGGTACACACCCCCTCCCCCCACCAGGACTACTTCACATCCTGCTTGTGGGGAGTTTTCTAGAAAGGGGGTCACAAGGCTAATAGAGACATATGTTATTTTGTGTTATGGGTGACCAGCAACTCGATGTATGGTTTTATTTATACAATGTATGGTGTTCATGAAAATTTGTAAATTGTGTAGCTGATGTGCCATATATCGTACAGTTTGTTAAATATTGTATTTTCAAATAATTGTAAATATATTTTATAAAATTGTTGTTGAATACTCAGAAAGAAATGGCAAGAGAGAGGATTTGTGTACCATACTATATTAATATATATTTGGTAAAAGATACAAATGTAATGTGGTGCAAAATATGATTGCCTGGGAATAAGACTTTGACTGATATGGGTGACAAGCAGAGATTGAAGCAAAATGGGACACGATAAAACTATTGTATGTATAATAGACAGTTACAGCAGATCTCTAGAGCCTCATAAATGTTTGTATGTTTTAGTGAGATAATGAGCTTATAGGAAGAATTAACCGCTGGAACGGTTTGTTAAGACAATTAGATATATATTAGTTGACTGCAACGATTGCTTTGAGAGATTTTACAAGTGAGATTTCAACAATTCTATAAGTTGAACACTTCAAAGTTCTATAATCTAAAATGAGCCTGTATAAGTGAAACACTTCCTAAGTTGGTGGAACACTACAATCTGTTAGGTGTTCAACTTGTACAAGTATTACTATATATTTGACAGTTTCATATCTTATGACATGAACAAATCTACTCAATGAGTCAAAAGTAAAACAACAAAGACTTAAAAAGTTCCCAATGTGGATCTAGAATTCAGTGATAGAACTGGACAAAATGGTTTGTTATTTGATAATAAAAGCTTTTAATAAAAACCAAAATGTTTTTGTTACTTGAATATAGCAAGAACAAAATGGAAATGGAAAAAATGGTATTTGAAATACCTTGTTTGGAGACACAGTTCACTGGTTCCCACCTGTGTGACCTGGATGAACTTCCATTTGGGAAATTTTTATTTTCATCATTTTCACCAAGAAAGAAGTCGATTTGTATCCAAATATGTTCCCCATATTTTAATAACATCTGTTTACTGAAAATCTAGGCAGTCACGAACGAATATATCCAGCTGCTCCAATAATCAAGTGGGAATTCCTCACTTCAGCAACCAGGACATTATCTAATGAATTTCATAATGTCTTGGATGTTTCATGTTGCTGGATGGACCTGGCTAAAACTTTCTTCAAAATCATGCAGTTTCTCACCATTTTGCACACTTTCAAGTGTTTTTGGGCCAAAATTGCCAATTTGAACCCCCCTGAAATTTTTCAAAAATTGAACCCCCTTGGCAAAAGCTGGCTATCGGCCTGCCATCTTTACATATGTCAAAAGCAGTGTGGAGACTCTAAGCCATGAGTAAAAAATCGGAACGGAAACCTGAACGTATAAATCGCCCTACACAAATGCATGTAGTTTTATAAAACTACATGTATTTGTGCAGTTCAAATAAAATAATCATTCGGTTACAGTGTTTACTTAATTCGTTACTTAGACCACACACCATCACGTGCGTACTATGCCGTTGATAGTTATATAGCTGGTTTTCTACGATACATATTTTAAACTAGACAACAGCAATGCCAAAGCGTAGCAAATCCCATCGAACGGCCATGGCTGGCATTTTTACAAACAAAGTATATCCATTTTTCAAAATGGCCACCTTCTACCAAAAGTGTCATTAGACAGTGTGCCATGCTTATTGTATTCACATACCAAATATGAACAAAATCACTCCACTACTTTTCGAGTTACAGCAAAAATCATAAAAATAACAAGTAAAGACCGCCATTTTTGAAGATGGCTGCCATGTGCTTCTTTAATATCTACATCTCTAGCTTTATTAATGTCCTATATAATTTTTTTACATTTAAAACATATTGCTATTACAGTTTTACATATTGCACCTAAACTACTATAAAATCAGCACTAAAATGGCCGCCATTTTTAAATGAGTGGCCATTTTGAAAATCAGCTTTTGAGCAGAATATATCTACCCCCATATGTGTACAAAATATGAACAAAATCGGCCCAACAGTATTTGAGTTATTGCCCGGAGGGACGGCCGGACGTCCGTACAGACAGATGGAGGCGTTCCCTATATCGCTCCGAACTTCTTTCGATGGGATAACAAGCTTGTTTCCTAAGATATTTGGAGCTAAAACATATATGACATACATCATTTTCTTCAGAAACCATTATACTGTGCATCGAAATTAAAATTGCCAGCATAGAACAAAAGAAATTGTATTCAAAAGAAATTGCCTCCATTCTAAACACAGCTCTGACAATGATCGGGCATCTGAAGTGGACTAATAAGCACTTGTTTTGTATGCGCGCTATACACATTACTTTATTGATTCATGGACTTTGCGTTCGCAGTTATGTTGTGAAAAACATTGCTAGCTTAATGTCTCCTGTATCAAACAAAACCTTTGAACTGAACAATAGAACATAACATAAGTATTTTATACAAATATATACAGTTTATTTGAGATTACAAATGTTTGTATAAAAACAGTCAGCTGTAAAGATGTTATATATGATTCTGGACAACTAAAAGCAAAGCTATACATGTTCTGTATCATTTATTCAGATGATGTGTTATTATGAATTCAGCATGATATACAAATGCACTAAAACATACAAAATGGCCTTATTTACAAATAACCAGCTGTTAATCCTTTAAAATGTGGAATGTTCATGTAATTTAATACTTTTGAAATGAACTAAAACAACTGTGAATGGGGAATATTCTGGTAAATTCTCAGAATGAGTTTTTACCCCCATTTACATATTGGTGAAAACACTGAAGTAATATTTCCCAAAGCCAATGATAAAATCTGAGAATTCACCATTTAAAAAATATGGAATGTTTTGAAAATAAAGATCCTTTCTCAAATCACTCAATTATAAACATGTTTGTAAATAAAAATGTACAGATATATAAAGAATGTAAAGAATATAATATCACATTTTAATAATATCAGGAATTATTAACAGTGTTAAGGAAAACTTGGAATATCGTAAACAGAATGTAAAGACAGAAACATTATTAACAGATCTAAGAATACATATACATTGAATGATCAGAAACACAGATTCTGAGACACGAGAACTATTATTTACAAATTGTTTTATGTTCAAAGTTTCAGACGGTGCATAATAACTGATCTCTGCAAAAACATAAGGCTCAATTTCTGTTTCAAAACATATAGAGAAAATGCAATGACCTTATTTTATTTACTTATTTTTAATTTTTAAAAGTAGGTCACTGAATTATCTCATTTTTCAAACATTTTACAAAAGAAATATTCTCTTCATGCACAGATGTCAATGTAGATTATAGACCCATACAAAAAGTAGAGAAATGGCAGAAGTTCTATGTTTAGCTAAAATTATTAACGAAAGAAAGGCATGTAGTCCCATCAAGAACTTGTGACATATTGTTACAACAACTGCTTTTGTAACTGCTGTTCGGTAACACTTTTGACATTTCAGGAGGTGAGGACTGGGAGGTGACATTTTGTTACGTTAATGTCTTGGGTCGTTTCTGTTTTTTATTTTTCAAATGATCCAGTTATATAGACATATACTAGACAGTCAATTAATTTGTCAGATCTACAGAGCCTTGCATTAGACAGATCAGATCAATTTGAACAATATACACTCATCATCAAAATCAGCGAGTCACTTTAACTTGGGAATGTATGAAAATTGTATTGAGGCATATCCTTCATTTCCTTGGACAATAAATGTCTGTCATACTGTGATGATGTGTTGAACTGTGATGACATGTTAGTGGAGGAAAAGCCAGACTGCTGTGGCTGAAAGGACTGTAAATACACTGGCCTTGAAACTGCCAGCTCCCAGCTGAAAGAAATTTAAAGGACATATTATAATAAGGTCTAACAATAATAAGGTTCTGTATCAAACAAAACCTTTGAACTGAACAATAGAACATAACATAAGTATTTTATACAAATATATACAGTTTATTTGAGATTACAAATGTTTGTATAAAAACAGTCAGCTGTAAAGATGTTATATATGATTCTGGACAACTAAAAGCAAAGCTATACATGTTCTGTATCATTTATTCAGATGATGTGTTATTATGAATTCAGCATGATATACAAATGCACTAAAACATACAAAATGGCCTTATTTACAAATAACCAGCTGTTAATCCTTTAAAATGTGGAATGTTCATGTAATTTAATACTTTTGAAATGAACTAAAACAACTGTGAATGGGGAATATTCTGGTAAATTCTCAGAATGAGTTTTTACCCCCATTTACATATTGGTGAAAACACTGAAGTAATATTTCCCAAAGCCAATGATAAAATCTGAGAATTCACCATTTAAAAAATATGGAATGTTTTGAAAATAAAGATCCTTTCTCAAATCACTCAATTATAAACATGTTTGTAAATAAAAATGTACAGATATATAAAGAATGTAAAGAATATAATATCACATTTTAATAATATCAGGAATTATTAACAGTGTTAAGGAAAACTTGGAATATCGTAAACAGAATGTAAAGACAGAAACATTATTAACAGATCTAAGAATACATATACATTGAATGATCAGAAACACAGATTCTGAGACACGAGAACTATTATTTACAAATTGTTTTATGTTCAAAGTTTCAGACGGTGCATAATAACTGATCTCTGCAAAAACATAAGGCTCAATTTCTGTTTCAAAACATATAGAGAAAATGCAATGACCTTATTTTATTTACTTATTTTTAATTTTTAAAAGTAGGTCACTGAATTATCTCATTTTTCAAACATTTTACAAAAGAAATATTCTCTTCATGCACAGATGTCAATGTAGATTATAGACCCATACAAAAAGTAGAGAAATGGCAGAAGTTCTATGTTTAGCTAAAATTATTAACGAAAGAAAGGCATGTAGTCCCATCAAGAACTTGTGACATATTGTTACAACAACTGCTTTTGTAACTGCTGTTCGGTAACACTTTTGACATTTCAGGAGGTGAGGACTGGGAGGTGACATTTTGTTACGTTAATGTCTTGGGTCGTTTCTGTTTTTTATTTTTCAAATGATCCAGTTATATAGACATATACTAGACAGTCAATTAATTTGTCAGATCTACAGAGCCTTGCATTAGACAGATCAGATCAATTTGAACAATATACACTCATCATCAAAATCAGCGAGTCACTTTAACTTGGGAATGTATGAAAATTGTATTGAGGCATATCCTTCATTTCCTTGGACAATAAATGTCTGTCATACTGTGATGATGTGTTGAACTGTGATGACATGTTAGTGGAGGAAAAGCCAGACTGCTGTGGCTGAAAGGACTGTAAATACACTGGCCTTGAAACTGCCAGCTCCCAGCTGAAAGAAATTTAAAGGACATATTATAATAAGGTCTAACAAGTCGAAAACAAGTTTAATCACATTTGAAGAGATTACGATGATTGGGATACATCACTCAATTACTATTTTTGGGTAACCCTGTACAACTCTAAAACCAGTATAATAACTGCAGTGCAATTAGGCAGTTGTATAAATGGTAATATGAAAACTACTGTAACAAAATTTTCATTCATCAATTCATGAATGTTTTTTTAGGAATGGACAGTTATAAAGTACATTGTCTCTATCTAAGTTTGAATTATATGTTGTACACTTACAGTGACATCATAGTTGCATAGATCTCCTTTACAACATTCCACACAGGCCCAATCATGGTACCAGTCTCGTGTACAGGACATTGAATAGAGGGCTTGTCGACGTGAACAGCCATCTGATGTGTCACAACCCTTAGATATATAATAGGCACGTTCATCTCTGTATGTCTGATAATTTGGTGCTGAAAGAATATAATTGCATCTTACATTATCCGACTGCAATGTTTTTCATTCTGCAACTGGTTGAATGAGTATTATATCACAAATTATCCTGGGATGTTTATTTGAAATAAGCCTAATTTTGAAGAGCATATATATCCTTCACACAATTCTTTAATATAATATTATATATAAAATAAATATTTTGATCCATTTTCAGTGTAAGTTTATTTTTTGGTTCTGATCCTTGCTTTTTTCTAGTTGATGAGGGGACTTTTTTTTATTTTTCCTTAATTTTAACCAAAAGATGATGTCCTCTCAAGGCCTCTCAAATTCAAATAGAAGTCATAAACATTATTAAGCCTGTCCTTATAACCTGCACTAATGATAACAAAATCTGGCATCGTATTTTAAAGCTTATCCTCATTTATATGCTTCCTAGTCATCTCAACCCCAAGTCAACTCAACCCAGTAAAACTCAACCCCAAGTCAACTCAACCCCAAGTCAAGTCGACCCCAGTAAAACTCAACCCCAAGTTAACTCAACCCCGTAAAACTCGACCCCAGTAAAACTCAACCCCTATATTTCTATATATTGATAAACTTACAAGAAAGTTTTTTTCATAAAAATAATTCTGATTATTCAGTGTGTGATTTTCATTCTTAGACCACTGCCTTTTTAGATTATAGTTAATAATGAGTTTATCTCCAAAATGTCAACATGGTACTAATAGGATTAAAATATGGGTCATTTTATTAATCTTGCTAATACATTTGTTTTGTTGTAATCCCTATGAGGTTGACACTAGTGATTATTTGGAAAAGTGGAACATGACCATTGCTTTCCAGAGGCATAGTCAGCTTTCAGTCAGGAGGGATGCAATCGCCCAAAAAATCAGGTTTTCAGTCAGGGTGTGCGCACCCCTCCTGGCTACGCCTATATGCTTTCAGTCTATTAATTAGTAAATCTTAATGATTTTGTTAATGCATGTTCATATAAATAAAAAGTTATATTACATTGTTAATTATTTCTAAATTATCTAAAATTTGATTTCAAAAGATGTCTTAAATTAAATAATAGTGACAACTTGATGAATTATCCTTGAGCTTAACCGTTTTTTTTTTGAATACTTTTACAACTTTCAAAACTTTACAAAAGTATCATGCAAAATTTATAAGATGTCTTAAATTATTCATCATGAAAAAATTGAATTAGACATTGCACAAATGAATAGGGTTGAGTTTTACTGGGGTTGAGTTTTACAGGGTTGAGTTGACTTGGGGTTGAGTTTTACTGGGGTTGAGTTGACTTGGGGTTGAGTTGACTTGGGGTTTGATTTGGACTGGGTTGAGATGACTTGGGGTTGAGATGACCTGTCACCATTTATATCCTACTGAATAAAGACAGCCCCTTATCAAAAGAGCCTTCCCCTGTAACACAGAGGGGGGAGTATCAAGAAGCTCTGAGGCTATAGCAGGGGATCTTCCTTTATAAAGTATTAGAGCGAATTATACTTACTTGACCATCTTATATACGAGGTACAAGTGTCCTGGAATATTTCACATCTCCTCACGTGATCTTTATTTGTGCAGTCCCATCTGTTTGTGTCTTGTCCATTGCAGTAGTAGCATTCTAGAGCACTGCCTGCATGTATGATAAAAATATATATAAATGTTCTGCTTAAAAACAATGCTGACTTTTTTTGGATGACAACCCTTTTGGAAACAAAGGGTCAAATCCTAAGCTAATAAGTGCTGATGTAAAAGTCACTCCACTTTGGTGGGAACCTATACCCAAAACCTCCTGATTACATGTTCATGCTTTATCAATTGGAAGGTTTTTACTACAGAGTTCAACATCGATATCCTGTCCCATATATGGGCATTTCGTGATACAAAATTCAACAGCCGCCATTTCGTTCACTTCAACATATCAATTGTGAGTTCTGGTCTCTGGTCTTATTTCCTAACGAAAAATTCCAGAACTCACAGGAAATGATCGAGATATTGGTTCGAATCTTTTGAACTGTTTATTTTGAATTTATGGTCGGTTTGTATTTCAGAAACTAATGACATTTTGATGTTTTCATTTTTTGAAAATATTGAGTTTCAATCCTTGGAGCCAATCCTCCTTGAGATCGGTAAAAAGAAATGTAAGATTGTCCTGATGGAGCAAGGGGGTGTATCCTTTCCACATTTTGCTATCCACTAAATAACTGTTGAATAATTCAAGTAAATAAAACTCTGAAAAAGCTCAGATTGCTGTATTAAGCGACTTCATTTTCCTAGCTAACCAACATTTTTCAAAATGGCCTTAGTAAGCTTTATGTCCTGTTTAGAACCCCTATTTTTACTATTGAAAGTGGATTTTACCAATACTCTCCCACATGAATCTACATGCTGAGATGCAATTAAGTGGAGTTCTTGTGAGATAATGAGGATTTTGAATCTACATGTATCCCCATGATGACAAACATTCAAAGTACATGATGATATGCAGTTGTATCCCCATGTTAATTTATTGCGCTCTTGCTGAAATCCTCATTTTCTCAGAAGAACTCAAGTTGATCGAGTCTCGACAAGTATATTCATGTGGGATAGTATTGCTAGAATCCATTATCGATGGTAAGAATTGGGGGACATTGAGCTTGAATTTTTTGTTGGCTCTCAGACACCCTTACAGATAATTGGCCCATATACAATGGTAAATGTCTAATGGATCTGGAATGGAGTATAAGTCATAAGATGTATATAGCATAAAATCATATTCCAATAGCAACACAGCGTTTCAATGAGGGTTTCAAATTTGAGTCATCATAACAATTATCTAATTTAGGATGAAGAAAAAATATTTTTACGGATTCTTAAAAATAATTATCTAGATGAAGCATAATACAGAAAGCCAGGTAATGTCCTTTTTACGTAACGAAATAGCGATCGATCTTTAAATAACAGGATGATTGCAAGGAGGATTGGCTCCCAGAGTGCACCACCGATATTCTGTCCCATATATGGGTATGTCGTAATACAAAATTCGAATTCAAACAGCCGCCATTTTGTTCACTTCAACATTTAAATCGTGAATTTTGGTCTTATTTCCAAACGAAAAATTCCAAAACTCACAAGAAATGATCGAGATATTGGTTCGAATCTTTTGAACTGTTTATTTTGAATTTATAGTCGGTTTTAATTTCAGAAAATAACGACATTTCGACGTTTTCATTGTTGGAAAATATCGAGTTTCGATCCTGGGAGCCAATCCTCCTTGGGATGATTGAGAAGTTTGAAAACAAATCCGCCATTTTTGGTTTTTACCTTGTTTGACCTACTTTCCAATTTCAATTATAAATTAACATTTTCTCCCATTTCTTGTATTTTCTAGAGTAACTGTAAGAGTATTTGAAAGAAAGCAATACTTACCCAAAGAAAATAGAGCTAGAAAGCATATATATCCTATTATATCCTTCATTTTACGATTTCAAATGTCACATTTCAAAATATTTTAACACAGATAGGAAACCACACGGAAGTTACCTGGACGAGTCTAATAATTTACCTGGGAAATTAAAGGGGTGATGGGTTGAATGTTTCACTTGCATTGTGAAATGAAGTAGTTCTTCTCTATTCATAATTCACCTTAGTCATCAACCTGAATAGTCGAAATGAGACAATAAGATGCGAATAAGATGTCATTGTGGGTGATGTAAACATGAGACAATATGAATGATGGGTTTGGCCTAGTTTTAAATCTTTATGAACTCGAATGACCTGGATACATAAAAAATGTTATAGTCTGTTTCTCTTGCTAATCACAAAAAAATACCAATATAAATATAGCACCTAAAACACTGAACATGATTTATATAATATAAAAATTATTTATTGTGCAATCAGACATACAGAAATATATACATATATGCAAACCACATTTATGTCCTACATATATGATACTCTACAAGGGAATGCAATATTTTTCTGGTATGAAAATTGAGCTAAATGTATCCATTCTAACTCTGCTTAAAAGTCAGTCTTATTTCTGCACCAGTCCTGCCATGAAGCCATTCACAATAAACCTGTCAATATGCGTTGTGATTTAGACATGTAGATATTAGCTCCTATATAGATACATGTACTGATCATTTACAATAGTTGTATAAAGTGACTGATCAATGGTTTGGTTCACTGTTGAATTACATAGGCTATACATGTTATTGGTGCCTGAGTTATGTTTAGAGGAAAGGCTTCATAGCCAAGATCAGCATGGCCTTAAACTGTTTTGAAATATTAGAATAACTCACATAATTTGGATTATTGTGTCATCAATGAATGATGATAGTTTTAAATCTTCATGAACCCGAATGACCTGGATTCATAAAAAATGTTATAGTCTGTTTCTCTTGCTAATCACAAAAAAACTACCAATATAAATATAGCGCCTAAAACACTGAACATGCTTTATACAGGGTGACCCCAAAAAAATGCAACCCTCCATTTCTTCAATATTTTTCTTAAGTGGAGGTTAATTGCTCTGAAATTTGGCACACAAGGACTTCATTCCATTTGGGATCCTCTGGCAAAGTTTCAATAATCATAGTCTTATATTGATAGAGTTATGGTCGTTCCAAAATATGCTCCAAATGTCGTCCATTTCCAATGTTAGGTTTTCGGATGAATCACATTCCCTTCTTTCTGAACATGTAATCTCAAGAAATAATGTGTTCTAGGATCACAAATTCCAGATGAAGTGCTTCAAAGGCCCCTTCATTCTGTTAAATGCACAGCTTGGGCTGCCAATTTCCAAACATGAAATCATTAGCTCCTTTTGGTTTGAGGTTGATAATGGCAACACTGTTACTGTTAACACACAGCGCGATATTGGCGTTCCAAGGAAGTTCTAGGCAGTTCTAGAGTGACATAGAGGCTTCAATAGACAAGAACAGTGGTTCTAGAAGGATGGAGCTACTCCTCACACTTCTAATGATAGCATAGCCTGGCTCACTAGTCATTTCTATGAGAAGATTATCTCTCCTAGGACGGAAAACCCATGGTCATCCCACAGTCTTGATCTCAATGCCCCTGACTTCTATATATGGGGTTATTTAAAGGATACTTGTGGATGAAAATAACTCTAACGCAATTGCAGGACTTCAATAAGCAATGGCTGCAAAAATTTGAGCCACACCCATGGGGAAGAATGCATCCGTGTTATGAACAGTTTTCCTTGAACATTGCAAGTTTGTTTTCAGCGAAATTGACGACATCTGGAGCATATTTTGAAACAACCATAACTCTATCAATATAAGACTTTGCTTATTAAAACTTTGTCAGAGGATCCCACATTGAATGAAGTCTTTGTGTGCCAAATCTCAGAGCAATTTACCTCCATTTAAGAAAAATATTGAAGAAATGGAGGGTTGCATTTTTTTGGGGTCACCCTGTATAATATAAAATTATTTATTGTGCAATCAGACATACAGAAATATATACATATATGCACACCACATTTATGTCCTACATATATGATACTCTACAAGGGAATGCAATATTTTTCTGGTATGAAAATTGAGCTAAATGTATCCATTCTAACTCTGCTTAAAAGTCTTATTCCTGCATCAGTCCTGCCATGAAGCCATTCACAATAAACCTGTTAATATGCTTTGTGATTTAGACATGTAGATATGAGCTCCTATATAGATACATGTACTGATCATTTACAATAGTTGTATAAAGTGACTGATCAATGGTTTGGTTCACTGTTGAATAATATAGGCTATACATGTTATTGGTGCCTGAGTAATGTTAAGAGGAAAGACTTCATAGCCAAGATCAGCATGGCCTTAAACTGTTTTGAAATATAAGAATACTCACATAATTTGGATTATTAAGAATTAAACTATGTACAGTATAATTGTCTAAAATGCAAAATTATTCGAAACATTGAAAAATAACATTTCAGGTCTTTTATTGCTCATATTATTCAAATCAATTTCTTTTTACTCACATTCAACAATTTTGATCTTGTCTCTCAAAACGTACTGACATGTGAGTTTGAAATCATGAAATTAAAAAATGGAACCCCATGTTTTAATGTACAGCCAAACTAGCCATAGTAACACTGGGTTGTACCAGGTGGATGAAGCACAATCAAAATACATGACAATACCTGTATAAAATATAAAGCTCTTAGTTTCCATAATGCATAATGTTAAAAAGTATAACCTAATAATATCTAATGTACATTTTAGAGGTCATTAAAACATTTAAAAAGTGAGGAATAAAATATACATGACTAAATCAGATCTAATACATACATGTAAGTACAATTATGGCTCCTTTTAACAAAATTTCTAAAAATGCTTAATAATACATTTTAGTTTGAAAAACAAGTTCAAATGTAACATATGCAAATTAGTTCAATAGCCCAGAAGAACTGAATACAACAAAGGATGATAAGGTAAATCAAGAGATTCAGAAATAAATCCAGATTCAAGAAATTGATATAAGCAATGATCAGATTCTGTTCAACTATAAAACAACACCAACACTTATCAGATCCTGGTAAGCAAATTGTAAAAAATCTAAACTACAGTTGTATAATACAAAATGTACATTTCAAAATCTTGTTATCATGGTTAAAATATTCAGATCTTTGCTCTATTTTTTATCCATATTGCCACTTGGTTTCAGTTATAGAAGCTTCATTTTTTATTCTAAAGATTAACCTTGTAAAGTTCAGATTCAGATCTTTTTCTTCATTTTGTCCACTTGTAATTTATGCAAGTTTGTCCAAGTTCAGATCTTTAGTTAATTCCAATTATACTTGTAAAAGTTAAGAATAAAGATTGGAATGTATCTTATTAAAAAATATAATTTGAATAGAACAGACCTGGTGCCTAAAAGTGGCACTATTATAATGTTTAAAAATAGTCAGTGGAATGTGCTTTCAGATCTATGTTCAAGTGAAGAGCCACTTATCAAAGCAGCCTGCTCAAATTTTGCAATTAAGACATGATATCCAATAGGTGGCATGATTTGCTGGAATGGTCCATTCGTCTAAGTCTAATGTTATCATGGAATGAACTTTTTGATTCAATTGTTCAAATGTTTTCTCAGATCTAGATTCTACAGCAGTGTGGATTCAATCATTAGCTTCTAGGTTTGTCGCCATAGGAACACTGCAGATAGTATTGTTGACATCGCCAAAGTGACAAGGTTGGAGGTCATAGAATTTGCACCCATCTGAAAACACAAACCATCAATACATAAACATTTTACTGAACTGATTTTCACTTTCATAAGAATGATCAAACTTAAATGCAATCTGAAAAATTTAAGAAAATTACAAGCTGCCAATCATTGTAAATTTAAACTATAATCAGATCCCAGGATTTATTTTTTTGTATATAAATATTTTTTACAACAAATATTAAAATATAATAGAGTTCAAGATGAACTTTCAAAGACATTGATATACATGTAGTCATTTTAACTTGAAGTTACACAAATGCAGTCAAACTAAACTTACGGTGACATAAAAGTTGCATAAATCTCCAGCACAGCACTCAGTGCATTCCCAATCATTGTACCAATCTCTCTTACACTTGTATGAACCAGCTATCTCCTTGGCATTACACTCAGATCTCCTGTCGCAAAATTTAGAGATTTTGTAGATTCGTTCATTATGTGGTGCCCAGTATGGTGGAACTGAAATCAGCAATAATGTTTTTCAAAGAGGATATAAAATGAAAGTTACCTTAAAACCTACTCACAGCTGCCATACAATCTTTAAAGTTTCTCAAATAATTTTTAAAACAGTGTTATCACTGATATTACCCAATGGTGACTTAAAAGTAGCTTTTGTAGCCATTATTAAAGTTCTAATGTCAGCTACTAACAGGCAAATTACAGTACAGAGCAGTGACTCAAATAATGATTTGGTAGATGTTTTCGTAATTTGGCATAGATCACAGAATAAGACATCGTTCAAATAGAAAGCAGGGCTCTCGCTGGTCTTTTACAGTTTATTTTGCTTCCACCACAAACTAATGGCAAATATTGATTGTTTCCACAGTCTAAACTTGATTGAATATACAACAAGGCATTGACATGACAAAATGTCACCACCTAGTTGTTCACAATATTTTTAGTTCAATCATAAGTCACATTTGAATTTCGGAGAACTTGAAGATGATTTTGAAAAAAATTGGTCAATTTGAAGCAAATTGAAAAAATCCCTTTTTTGACCCTGAGAAGGACATTAAAGGTGAAATCTCAAATCTAAAGTCAGATTTGAACTTCTGATAACTTGTAGATGATTTTAAAAAAAAATTGGTCAATTTGAAGCAAGATGAAAATATACATTTTTGACCTTGAGAATGTCATTGAAGGTCAAATCTTTTTTGACCTTGAGAAAGTCATTGAAGGTCAAATCTATAATCAGATTTGAACTGTTGAGAACTTGTGCAGATGATTTTGAAAAAAATTGGTCAATTTGAAGCAAGTTGAAAAAAATTGTTACAGAAGCTGATCGCCATCCACCGCTACAAAAAATGGAGACCAACAATATGTCACCATTTGGTGGTGACATTATAATAGTATGTAAAAAGGATAAAAACATAAATATGATTTATCATAACTTGTTGCACTAAAGATGTTTCTACCACACCCTGTTTGAATATTTCCTGGTGAGAGACCTGGAAACTTACATTGAACTCAGTCTAATTGGACATTTGGGTAGATGAGCTTAATTATTTAATTTCTAAGTAGATCACTGAAATATAGTTTGAACCCAGAGCAGACATGGCAGATAAATAGTAAATTAACTAACCTCCCCACTTGACAACACTGCGACATGTGTCCTCTCCTTCTCTGCATTGAACTACTGTCTTGACGCATTTGTCATGATTGTTGTCTTGGTTCTCACACACATAACACTCTAGGGCAATACCTGCAGTATATAAATAATAAAAATAATGTACTACAGAGGTGGTTTGAACACTCCTTTACCAATATTTGTAGTAATAATAGTTCAACAAGTTAAACCCAATACCACAGCTTTCATTTATTAATCTGAATGTTCTTGTTGCCGTGATTGGGTTTAACTTTCTTGCTATGCTTTCATTGGTTGCAAATTCTCACTATCAGTTATTAATAAAACGTGCATGGAATTTCATGCGCTGCCATAGGCCACCATTAAATTTTTTGCATCAAGGGCAGAATAGGCACGGACATTAAATCTAGGGCGGGCCACAAGATATGTCAGATAACAAATATTATAAGGCCCAGACTAGGTTTAACTTGTTGAACTAAACAAATAATTGGTCTTTAGATCTCTTATTTTTAAGGTTCAACTGGTGATTATGAAGTAAATTTAACAGACTGTATACTACAAAAATATGACTAAAAAAAATTGGTGCTATTCTTATTTGAGTATCATTTTAGATTATCAAAACTAAAAGCAATCGAAGTACAACTTAGAAAATGCATTGGTAATTCAAGGATGATAACCTTACTAGTCAATGACATATTAGGGTAAGTGACTGATTCATTTCAGCATGGGTTTGACTATTTCTTCAATCAGAAGAAAATCCAACAAATACTTGAAATGGCTGCCATTTATTTACAAACAGTAAATTTTTTATTACTATACACCTGAACTTTAGTGCAGAACAGTTAGAACAGATTACTATCAATTTTGATTCAGTGTTATAAGTACTTTATACTTACACATAGATAGTGTGCCTAAAATGCACAGAATTTGGATTATTCTCTCCATTTCCTACTTCATTTGAAACTTTGTTGACCTACTTTTGCGCACCTGAAACACGGAAGTTAATTGGACCAGTCCAAAAACTTTTGAAAGGAGGGGTGTTGGCAATAAGTTTGCGACACCTAAAGTGACTATCTGTTCATATTTATGCGATTATATGAAATGCATGCAGAGCATTATCATAAACATTGACATGACTTGGGCATTTTGAACAAATTGAAATATGAAATAAAGATTTATTTAGACTTAATATCATATTACATTCGATACCTATATACGACCCCAAACATTATGTATTAACGTTTTGAGACACCAAGTTAGTTTACAAATGGCGGACAAATATTTTTCAATGATTTTGAAAAAGTTTATTGAATTAGTATTTCACTCTAATATTTAGCCATGGATCAAGGTTTTGTTGAAGCAATAGGTGCATCCCTGATAAGGGAATACTTGAGTAGAAAGGTTTGTAATTTAGTATTCACATATTCTTACTTTCGTTGATTCAATAAAATGTTACCCCCATAGCTCACTAGGCTAGAGTCTAATAGTGGGGTTGATTTTTATAATCACTATTCAACCCCACAATATGAGGGTAATGAAATGTTAGACCTTATCCCGTGCCAGGACTATAATACTGTCCTGGCACCAGATAAGTTAGACCCACATCTATGTCAGTATGGGGAAGGTCCTCTATTATGACCCTCGGTAGCAAGTTGTGAGATAGACTTTATCTTGTTCCAACACCATCCTCTTCGTTTCTGGTCTTTGAGGGGATCCATTGAAACACACATTATTTTTCAAAAGTCGAAATTGAAGGGCGTTAGGTACGCATATATTTCTTACCTCTATCGACTCTTAACACCAAAAGAAATGTTCTTCCCAAGCCAGAAAAGACGCGGCTGTCTCTAATTGCAGTTGCAGTAATATACACTCCAATATTCGAGTTGACCAGCTGTATTCCGCTTATTTCAAAATATCTGCCATGAACATTTCATCCAGTGTCACATTTCAATCTCTTTTTTTCCCGGGAACATTATCCTTCAAACTTGAGAAATTGGTTCGCTCAATTAATACGGAATCAAGTCAAGCAACATTGATAAATCGTGAGTAACGATATATTTGAATGATTTCACTGGAAATTGCTGTTGTATTTGACATGTTGTTAGGTAAAATGCAAGGAAATTCCCTCGGCTGATCAGTGTCAGCCAACGCTGAATGTTTTCTTCATTTATATATTACTACGCGTTGTGTAAGTTAGAATAGTCCGAAAGTGACGTCATCAAATTCATGGATGACATTTTGGAAAACCGGTCGATTTGAAGTTTGAAGTGTATATTACTGCGATTTGAGACAGGCTCAGCTTTACTGCCTTTAGAAGAATGTTTCTTGTGACATTAAGAATCGATAGAGGTAAGAAATATGTGCGTAGCTATCGCCGATAAATTTCAACTTTTGAAAAAGAATGTGTGCTTGAATGGATCCCCCCAAGACTAGAACGTAGAGATAGTTTTGGAACGAGATAAAGATAGACTATCTTCATTGTACAATAGCCCAGCTGTAGTAGCTATACCCCATTGGCTCGAGTGATTGGGCATCAGACTTTGGACTGGAAGGTCCTGGGTTCGATTCCTGCATGGGACAATGAAATTAGCACACTCCCTTTGGGGCCCTTTCATGTCTCGTATCTGGCTTGTCACACTCCAGCTATATGTACTTAGGCTTTTAATGGTCAGCTGTTTCAGGATACCACAGTCCTTGGGAAGAAACTTGCACTTAAGTGGGAGGTGGGGTGGGGGTTGATTTTCCTTTTTGAATAAAATATCCTTAGTAAACAGAATGGGAAATTTTCTTTTCAGACAATTGTAGTACCTGTATCTCTTCCAGTTCAAAAATATTTTCGGAAAGAAGAGTAAGGGGAGGTCCTCTTTTTGGACCATTTCACTATCTGTTCCAGTGCCTGTGAACTGTTGCGTCAGCTGAAATTTCGATAGATCTTTGCTTCTTGGTATGAGAATTGATAAGGAGAATGTTCTTTTATTTTCAGGGATTTAAACAAACTCTAGCAATGCTTGATAATGAATCTCCAAGATCTGAACAAAGCATCAGTAATAGGCCAACTCTGATGAAAGAACTTCATTTGGAAAAACTTATGAAACGTAATAAGGTATGGACAGTCCAAAACTGGAAAAAATATCACTTCCAGTCTTTCATTTGATTATTAGCTATAAAAAGCAATGTTGTGTTGAAGAAAAGCTTAGATGACAGTTTTGTCAAATGCTATACTATTGGATTTTATTCACGTGTACAACATTATAACTATACTATGCAACTATAACTATGCAAAGCCATAAAAGCTCATGTCAAACATTCATAATTTGAAAGTGCAAATAAATGGATTAAATTACAAAATTATTCTCTATTTCTAGACTATAAAGATAAGAAATCTTGAAAGTAAATGATAGAATATAGATTGAATTTCTAATGTACATTTTACATTAATTTCTTTGATGCTTAAACGTTATCCCTTGGCTTATCAACCAACCTAAGTACTTTTTGTAAAAGGTTGTATTTAGTTTTACTATCCTCACCATAATGAACCTTGACAAATAAATCAGTTTTATGCTCTTTTGAAGTAAGAAGTCAGAAACTTCATTACAGCAATGACTCACCCAATTATAGGGTGGCGAAGTATTTTTAAAAATGACAATTTTAGTGACCCATCCTGATGCTTTTACACATTTACAGGAAGAGGGCCAACCATTTAGAACAATGATTGAAGTGATGACCAAACATTTTCTTGAACAAGTGAATGAAAGACATTCTAGAACAAGCAGTGCAGCACTTGAAAACAATAAAACAAAACCAGTCTCTCCCAAAAAAGGTGAGTTTCTAAATTTTATTTTCAGAATACCATTGACACATAATAGCTCATGATATTTTCAGAATACCATTAATACATCATAGCTCATGACATTTTCAGAATACCATTTACACATCATAGTTGATTATATTTTTAGAATACCATGGTGACATCATAGTTGATGATGATGTAGAGGGAGAAACTCTGCTTGGAGATGGTAAATCTGGCCTCATGGACCAACAAATTCCTGATAGGCCAATGTCATCACGCTCTAACAGGTCTCGGGGGATGTCTGGACCAATCACAAGCAGCCTAGATGTGAGTCACTGTACCATCTTAATATTATAATGGTCTATCAGAGGGTCTTAAATTTCTTATTTACATTTTTTAAGAATCCTTATATTTTTACATTCATTAAACCCCTACATTCAAACCCATCCCTCAACTTATCACCTGTTTATGTGAACACTAGATCCCACGAAGAACCATTTTCAAGTGAATTAAGCTTTTCTCAAACAGACTTGATATTTACTTTATTTTAAATAGCCCAGAGATAAGAGATTAAGGTCAGCTAAAAAGAAGCATGTTGGACCAGGAACTTTACATGGACCAATGAAAGATGTTCTCAGGTAAGGTGTACTCATTGTTTGATATTAAATAGGCCCTGCATTCATCCTTCCCTTAATGTTATCAAAGGTTGAAAAATATCTCACCTAATAAGCCTTTTAAAAATGTCCACTTCGAAAACCTCCCAGTTAGAAAATAATCTTTTGAAATAGACAATTCCCATACAGAGAGAATTCATTTAAATTGAATGGTTTATTTAATTTAATCTCCCCTCCATAGTAATACAAATACACTGATAGAAAAAATAAATACTGTACCTAGTAATCATAAGGACAGGATTTATTTAAGTTTTGAATTGTTTGCGTATTTGTCAAGTATTTCATAGATAAATGTCTATGAAACTTCAAATGATAATGCATGATGTGCAGTTTGGATCTGTCAAACAAAAGGCAGAATTTAAGTTATTTGAGTCTCATAAATGCCAGCTTGGAAAGAATAGGTTTAAGGATGTCACACATACTTCCAGGTCAGAAGATAGTGCTTCACCTTCCCCTGTGAACACCCCTGAGAGACAACACAGTGCAGGAGCCACTAGGAAGGAACCCAACCACCTCTCTATTGATCTCAAACCACTTACTGCTGCACTAGAGGAAGAACCTCAAAGAAAACCCAGTGCTTCACGTCGACGCACCTCAAACTCTGAAATTCCAGTTGACCCTCCAGAAACGTCAGTCGTGTCAAAACCTCAAGAAAAACCTAAAAACATTACTCCAAGTGAATTCAGAGGGGATAAGAAAACTTCATTTGAGGATTCTTTGAAAAAATTAAAAGAAAATCGTACAAAAAGGCGAGATAAGGAGAAGGTAGAAATTGTGACTCCACAAAGTGAGGCTACGCAAGGGGTAATGCCCCGTCCAAGTACAGGTAGAAGAAAGGTGGAGACAGATGAATCAGAAGGCTACAGTGTCCTTAACTCCAGTCTGACTAGTGACAGGCCACCTTCAAGAGGAAGACTTGTTGAACAACCCAGGTGAGAATTAAAATTGCATTTTTATGTGACGTTATGGTCTCCAACTTTTTTGTGAACAGTGTTTGGTGTTCGGTGGTTTGTGGTCATTGTTTGATTGCATGTTAATGCCTTGTGAGTTGGTATTGGAGTGTAAAATCTATTAGTTTATGAGATATACCGGTATGAAGAAAACTTACAAGGTGCAACAATTAGTGCAGGGGGGCTATTCAACGATCATCAGCCAGTGTCAAAATATATTTAAGTTTGGATCAAGACTAACATGTATTTTTATATCTACAAAGAAACCCCCTGGATGAACATTATTTCAGCTGATATTCCTCTTGAAACATGGTGGCTCTTAAAAATCTATAAGTGGGACCCCCTTTATAGAAGCTTCAAACTGAATTTACACTTGTTAATGCTGAAATTGATAGTTTATACATACATTTTTAGAAAATAGGTATGTCAAAGAAGGTGTTAAGCCAAATATTGACCTGATAGCTCAGAAAAAATAAAAAAAGTCCAATTTTCTCTCTACAGTCCTTGTTGCCCCTTTAAACAAAACTGAAGTTTCTTCAAATCTCACGGAACTCCTGTCTGTTAATATGTGTAGTATTTCTCTAGGTGCAGAATTGAAAGAAAACCCTTTTTTCCCAGACAGATTTAAAGTTATTTTTCATGTTTTTCAGTAAACTATCAAAAGATAATACTCCAAACACAGCTGAATCTGAGAATAACAATGCAACACAAAAGGAGGAAAGCGATGTTGATACAGAACCAAAGCTTCCACCACCCCAGCTTATCTCAAAATCAATCAACTCGAGACCCATGGATCTGAAAACTGCTGTTCAATTAAAAACTATACTTTTTGGGACTGCCATGGAAAATTTCAATGATGAATGGCGTTATCAAAGTTTGACGTTCTGTGATATACCAAAACTGCAATATGGAATCGTCCAGAAGAAGGGGGGTCCTTGCGGGGCACTTGCTGCTATACAAGCATGCATGCTTCAAAAGTTACTTTTTACTGATAAATCCTATAGAACTTCATGGCAAAATCCCACCAAAGAAATCCGTTCTAAATGCCTTGCTATGGCAATCAGCAATATCCTTTGGAGGGCTGGTGAATTTTCCAGAGCTATACTGACGTTACCCTCAGGGAGGACTTTATTTACAGGTATTGGGAGGTTCAAAGCAGATCAGCTGACAGAGACCCTAACTATCAATGAATTTGATAATTATGACACTTTGTATGGATTTGTAACTCAGCATATAGGACATTTAGAGATGGATGGATCCGGCGGTGTTATTTTAGTGGTTTATTCTGCAATATTATCACGTGGTATTAGTCAAATTAAGAAAGACATGGATGTACCTGACCAGGGAAAACTAATGGGTCAACATGGCTATTGCACACAGGTACAACATTTTTTTTTCAAATATTTAATACTGTTTTGAATGCCAATTATGCTGTAGTTAATTCTATAATGGCTTTTACAAACATACATTTATGTCAAAAATGTTTTCATGACTACCAGGACTTTTTTCACCCATGGAAAATGTCTTTGAATGACTTAATTTTGAAGAAAGAAGAGACATTAAGCAGTGAAATTAAAACACAACCAGAGAAAAAGCCTGTGTTGAACTTTCTGAATTATGGGAAAATTATGATGCAAAATACTTTTAATAAATGTCTATTAACCTCAGAATTGAATTGAATATTAAATTAGATATTTCATTTTCAGGAGATGGTTAACTTGTTGATCAAAGGACAGGCAGCATCCAACGTGTTTGACAATACTATGGAGTTAGATGGAGGTTTGGTCTTGAAGGGAATAGTAGGACGTGGTGATATTGGACTTCTTTCCCTATTTGAACATTATAACTCTTGCCAGGTAACCTTTTAAGTCAAATATTGTATATTTGTGAATGAAAAATATTATGTGAAGGAAAAAAATGTATATACATACATATGAAAAGGCAAAACATTTTGTGAATTGAAAATATTATATACATATTTGTGAAGGAAAAATATTGTATTTATATTGAAAAAGATAGGCTTCAAAGTAATGAATATAAAGCCAAAGAGAGTATGAAGAGTCCCAAAATCCCAAAATCTTGTATTTTTAGGTTGGGACCAATTTAAAAGTACCAAAGAATATTGTATTCATATTGAAAAGTGATGAATATAAAGCCAAAGAGAGTATGAAGAGTCCCAAAATCTTGTATTTATAGGTTGGAACCAATTTAAAAGTACCAAAGAATATTGTATTCATATTGAAAAGTGGTGAATATAAAGCCATAGAGAGTATAAAGAGTCCAAAAATCTTGTATTTTTAGGTTGGGACCAATTTGAAAGTACCAAAGAATATTGTATTCATATTGAAAAGTGATGAATATCAAGCCATAGAGAGTATAAAGAGTCCCAAAATCTTGTATTTTTAGGTAGGGACCAATTTGAAAGTACCAAAGAATATTGTATTCATATTGAAAAGTGATGAATATCAAGCCATAGAGAGTATAAAGAGTCCAAAAATCTTGTATTTTTAGGTTGGGACCAATTTGAAAGTACCAAAGAATATTGTATTCATATTGAAAAGTGGTGAATATAAAGCCATAGAGAGTATAAAGAGTCCAAAAATCTTGTATTTTTAGGTTGGGACCAATTTGAAAGTACCAAAGAATATTGTATTCATATTGAAAAGTGATGAATATCAAGCCATAGAGAGTATAAAGAGTCCCAAAATCTTGTATTTATAGGTTGGAACCAATTTGAAAGTACCAAAGAATATTGTATTCATATAATATTATTGAAAAGTGATGGATATAAAGCCATAGAGAGTATAAAGAGTCCCAAAATCTTGTATTTAAAGGTTGGGACCAATTTGAAAGTACCAAAGAATATTGTATTCATATTGAAAAGTGATGGATATAAAGCCATAGATAGTATAAAGAGTCCCAAAATCTTGTATTTATAGGTTGGGACCAATTTGAAAGTACCAAAGAATCCAATCTGGCTGATTTGCAGTGAGAGTCACTTTACTACTCTCTTTTGTACACGCAAGGAACTTATGTCTGACTGGAAAGCTGAAAGAAGGTATCATTAATATGAATTAATAATTTAATATAATAACTTTTTATAATGATATCAGATATATTTTACGCTTGTTATTTTTTCATTATAGGGATTGAATATGGTTTTATTCTTAAATGTTTGGATTTAAAGAGGGTGGAAGGGATACAGAAAAATGTTACAATGTGACTATGTCTTACTCGTATCATTCCATGTCAATTTCATTTTTTAAAAGGTTCAATGATTCTAACTTTATTTCAGGATAATTGTTTGATTTTTAAGGTATTCTGATCATTTGGATTTCCCCTTTCTCAATTCCTCATCACAAATCTTCAACAACTTCTGAAAGACTAGTCTCGGTTTGGAGAAATAAGTTCATCAGTCTACTGCATCCGTACGCCTGCTTTGGACAATTTTGATATTTTTGCATATTGTAGATTTAAATGTCCTCTTTTCCATAATTTAATTTGGGTGATTTTCTATATTTTTCATAAAAAAAATTATCAGCCCAGGAGACTTCTCTCCAAACCAAGACTTGTCCTTTGATCAGATATCACAATTTTCAGAAAATAAAATTACGATGGTAAGAAAAAACAATTTTTTGAAAAGATTTCACCCAACATTTTTCACTGTATCCATTCTAATTCCACTATTAGTTTTTGAAGTTATATTTATTTTTCCAGGTTTGATCTATATTATTATGATGGCTTGGCTAAACAGGATGAAGAAATTAGGTTAACAATAGGTAAGATATGTGCATACTTTAAATCATGTCAGTTCATTATTTATTTGAAAAGATGTAAAAGCAGTACATGCAATAAAAAATTATTTTAAAAATTGTTATAAAAATTTCATATTTCTGGCTGAACTGAAATTATCATCATATTTGACTCAATAATTATTACTATGATGATATTATAAATTATAATAGTTGAACTGTTCATCTCAGTACACTGCGTCTTGTTCTTTTGAAATCAGAACCTGGCCAAAGATATTGGAATGGTAAGAAAGCACATTGCACACCATTGGTTCTTATCATATTATATTTAGATGCTTGAACTTTAAATTTAATATGCATGTTGTCAAACAGTCCTTCAGCCAATGATTGGGTGTTAGGAAAATATATTTGATTGCACATATATTGTACGTAACGTAATAAGATATAACTTTGAAAGGGGTGCACAATTTTTGATTGACAAATTGTCTGTCACTGGCTATGAGGCTTGCTTAAGTAAGGAGACCCCCCCCCCCCCCCGTCTGTTATATGTACAATACTGCATATTAGCACTTGCATGTCTGCACAATGACTAATTTTAGGAAAAAACAATCTTTTGCTTTTATCAAGGTATTTTTATGAGGTTAACTTATTGTACAGCATGTTAAGTGTTGTTGCTCAGGCTCAAATCTAATTTAAATGTTAAGCCTATTTGGATGATTTAACTAAGCTGTTAGGTGCAATTTTTGTTCAAGTTCCTGTGTCATCATGACCCTGATATATTTTTTACAATATTAAAACAGGTCTAGGATCATATTCATCTGTCTGATATGGGAAACATTGACAAAATTACAAATGGAAAGTTTTCATGTTATTAAACTTGGAAAGAGGAGAGTATTCGATCTTGATTTTGGCTTGACTCAAATCATAACTGTATACTGACTGTTAAAAGAGAGCCATTTACTGTAAATTTACTTTAACTCTTAGCAGTCTGCCAACGAGTTATCTCGTAAAATCAGACATTCCTGGGGTCTGCCGACGAGATATCTCGTACTTTAGGTACTCTTGGTTATGCTAAAGTTCATTTAGAAACCAAAAATATGCGTTGTGTTGATAATACATACCCAACACTTGATGACGGAATCAAAAATAATTGTTTTGTAGCCTAAAATTAAAAGTTTAATGGTTACTATGGTCAAACTGTCCATTTTGCTCAGACCAGGGCAGCAAATACTGGGATTTAGTTTAGACTGCCAAGAGTAAATATAATTCATATTGTTTTAGACACAACCAACAGGTTTTATGAGCCACCATCAGCCGAAGATGAGATGGTTCCACCTCTGGAGCTTTGCATAAGAACCAAGTAAGATAATGTTTATAAGATATTATATGTGCTCTCTTTTGTATTTTAATACATGGGTTTGCTTGCTATCTTGGGATTCTATGCTGTTTTTTCCACTGGTGTATGTACATATTTGAATTAAATTTTTACCTATTGTGATTTACAACTAAATGAGTACCTATTTTGATTATTGACTATGATTACCTTTCATGATTATTTACTAAATGACTACCTTTCATGATTATTGACTAAATGACTTCCTATTGTGATTATTGACTAAATGATTACCTTTCGTGATTATTGACTAAATGACTTCCTATTGTGATTATTTACTAAATGACTACCTATTGTGATCATTGACTGACTCTTGCTTGCATTTCCAGGTGGAAAGATGCTCAGATAGATTGGAATGGGACAGAACCCTTTCTATAATGAATGTTAACAGTAGCTGCCACTAATTGCCACTGCTGCTTCAGCTAACAAAACCAGTATCCTTGAGCAGATATAACATACGGACTGTGCTATAAAACTGAATTCTGAATAGCTATTGGCAAAGTTGCATACAGTTATGTGTGAAATTCTATATTATTTATTAGTATTTGTATAGACAAACAAGGCTCTCTTTAAGCACTTGGTAAATATCAGTCTTAAATGTCATGAATGGTGAATGAAATACCCATTGGATTATTCGGCTTACATTTATTGAAATTATTTCAGAAAAGAACATCTGCTATTCTCCTCTATGAGAAGAAGTATATTGTCAAAAGCTATGGCACAGCCTCTAGTGGAAACAGGGGTTTCCTTGTTTAGGGATAAAAAGTGTAAAATGTTGAAAGCAATATTTTGAAAAAGCATGCAAATGTTTCACTTCCAGTTCAACTTTTGTTTTCTGAAATGGGAATTGAGATAGAGGCTTATCTGATCAAACAATATTTTGATGATTTTAAGATATGGAAATATCAATTGAAATTCATTAAAAGGATGACTTCTCCTTTCAGTTGCATTGACAGATAACCTTAAAAATCAAAGGATTATCATCAAGTAAAGTCTAAACTTACTTTCAACTTTATACCGTCTACTAGCCCCTTATAAAGAGTTATATGAATAAAGACACTCTACTATACCTTGCATTGGGTGTTCATTAGCAGCCCTTTTGGCATATTAGTAATGATTGTTATTTGTTTTTATTTGTCTGATCCTTATCAATGGTTTATCGGATGACGTTAGATGTTAATAAGGTACTTTCAAAAATATACTAAACAATACAATTGGACAAACAGAGTATCTTATGCATATAGGAGTTAGGTATAGTGAGTAGAGTGAAAGAGTTCATAAAATGAGTATGGCCAAGTATAACACCATGTGAATTGACTCATCAAAGTATATTATATAAGTCTAACAATTTTCTAATTAATTTATATGTGCAGTATTGTAAAAAAAATTATCTCTTAAAAAATAAAGTAGAAATTCAAACGCTAGAATTTTTGGAGTAATTTTTATTTGAATTTTTTGGCTTGTACATTTTAGATCGGACATTTAATCTGATGAATGGATGATCATTAAAATGATCACTGGTCCATAGCATGACGTTTAGTATCATCCAAGATGGTAGACAAATATTCAATATGTTCAAATGTTTTTCTATGAATAAAAAAATGAATTAAAAAAAATAAACCTGTAAAATCTGCATTCCAAATAGTTGTGATATAAACTAACGAAGAACCATTGAAATAACTAGAGTACAAAGAAATGCTCATACGTCTCCAAAATTGGAGAAAATAAAGAAAGTAGTACTTTTGAAATTGTATATTATTTCATATTGAAAATATTTCTGCAACGATGTTGTAATTGACTTCTCTCTAGCATGTCTTAAGTGATAGGAAACAATCAATATGGTTAATATAATATTGTAGATATGTCTGCAAAGATTGAACCTTATGAATATAATATCTGATTGTGGAAACGCCGTCAACACCTCCCACTCACTATTCAAACTGAGTAAAACCGACTGTATTATGGTAAAACGAGTCGTCACTTTGAAACAACACGCAAATCATTGTGTGAGAATATATTTCATGAAAAATAATTAATATCTAAAACTACATATTATATTATAAATGACTTTTTCAAATTAATTTATTGCCTTGGGAAATGTTTACGTCAATTAATAACATTGCTTCCCATTATTAATAATAACATTGCTTCCCATTATTAAAAACAGTAATTAGAGCAGTTAGAATAGTTATGGAATAAGTTTGACTATTCAAAACCCGATTGGTGATTTTTGTTTCTTTCATTCCAAATTGCATAATTCATTTTGTGAGAAAACACCCAATATTGATATTTATACGAAGTTTGAAATTTTTTGCATGGTTCAAAATCCACCACTTGGGCTTTGTCATGGTCTGTGATATGGCACATACACCCGATGATGTTATTGGAGAACTGCTGCATAAAGCGTCCAATGAGACCTTTGGATCGATTGTCAATTGGCATAGTGTTGGGTACAGTTGTGTTAAACACCCATGTTTGGTTCTTTGGTATACCCTGTGTTGTAGTTATACACTGGGTGACTTTCACGTAAGGTGTTGTGTCATTTGGTCGCTGGTAAACTGTTAGGCATTTCTCATTCAGTATCAAATTACCGGTTTTGGTCAAAGAAAATAACTGATTCGCATACACTTGACAATCTTGCATTTGCATTTTGTCTTTGTCAGGAACGAAGGTCATGCAAGCACCAGTTCCAAAGTTTTTTAGTTGGCCAAAATAAATCGATTGGTTTGCTGGAATTATCATTTCTGGTATAACCTTATTGAGGTACCATTTGAAGTCTTTGCATTTTAGGGTTTGCTTCAGTTGGATCCTTTGTTGCAATGTCTTATTTTCTTCCTTTGAGAGGGGAACATACTTCCCAATAGCAGCATAGAAATGAGGTCTATATTCACCCATCCAAACTTCAGCCGCCCTTTGGAGATTTTTCTGAATTATATTGCCACCATTTTCTTTTCCGTGTTTATCTGGGAAGGAATATGGTAAATATGAACGGAAAACATGTGCTATTCTTGAACATGGAATTATATACACCCCTTCTCCACACATCCAAGCCCGGAAGGATATTTCGAGATTTTCACCTCCCCAAATACGCATGCCTTCATCGAAACCCCCAAAAGAGAAGAAATAGCTCCGAGAAACTGCAAAAGCGAACCCAATCAATGTTGGACTTCTGATAGGGTCAATGCTTGAAGTTCTTCTCTTTGTTTCATGTTCTGGTAAAAATTTCCACACGTATTCTAGTTTCCAATCGAAGCCACCGTGAACGGTAGAACTCCACGTCCTATATTTGATGGTCTTTGGATCAATATCGTCTGCTGTTGGTACAGCTATACTTGTGGGCATGCGCGTCAGTGAATCAAGCAATGGTACCAACCAATAGTCCAAACACTCAATGTGAGCATCTAGAAACACTAGTACACCACCGGTTGCTGCTCTAGCGCCAGTCATCCGTGCAACCATAAGTCCACCACGTGACTTTTGTCGGATTATTTTGATCTTCGGGAAATCTTTGGCGAAATTATCCAATGGACGCTTTAGGTAGTCCCTTGAGCTGAAGTCATCCACGAGAATAATTTCCTTGAGAAGATGACTTGGTGTTCTTTTTAGAATACTGTAGAGTGATCGGATCAACATCGACCAGACCTCGTTGTAAAAGGGCATGATTATGCTAACGCTTTGGAAAGACACCCCCATTCTTTGAGAAAAAGTCCTACAAAGTTTATCTCTCGTGTCAGGTAGGGGTCTGTCCAATGCAGTGCTATGACTAGCTGAAGTGTTGAGATAATCCTCGGAAAAACCACGTGACTCATTGATGGGAAATCCCAAATTACTCATCTTTTCTAAGTTCCAATTAAGGCGAACTTCACGCATGTATATTGGCACTAGATCCATAGCCAGATAGACACAGCCAGCTGTGACAATGATCAACATTACTAAGCATGGCTTAATCCAAGACGGCGAAGGTATTAGACCTATGCCCCTCTTGAAAATCAATCCCATTCTCGTATTTGAATATTTGTTTATAGTTTTGTGATTTAATGTCTTTTAATAGTTACGTTTATTTTAATTTTATTTTATATTGTAAACAAATATGCTGAAGCACGATTTTTGTGTCACATAAAAATCATGTTCATACTTTATAAATTGGTGCATTAGATTTTAAAATATGCCCAAAGTTCATCATATTTTAAAATAATTCTATAGGAAGAATCCTCTCGTGCAATCCAGTTTGTGCATAATACCAGCATTCATTTTAAACTCAAATAAATGCCATGTTTATCGCTATATGAATCAACAAGTCCTGTCTACACGTTTTGTAAATCTTCTTTAAATATTTAAATACTCAATCCCATTTCTATTCACAGATATGGAATAATTATGTGCTTTCTATAGATCTCACTAAAACTCTGAGTTATTTTTTGATTACAGGCGGGTCACATGCAAATTAGAGAAATGTTGGCAGTTAAATTGAAAGGTTTAAATTATGCCTATAGGAATATATTAACTGTGTGAATTTGTAATTAAAGTACATTATAACTTTTACTTCAGGCGTATAAAATACTTTGATTGAAATGACACAAAATTGGATCAAAATGAAAATGATATTTTCAACCTTTTCTAGAATGGAAGAAAAATCGTCCCAATATCACAATGCAAACTATCAAGTGTCAGGCACTTTTTCAAATACCCATTTCTGTTTAAGTTCATTTTCATCACACTTCGCAAATTGGACAGTTTTTTGCTCGCCGTTGCCTAGTAACATGAGGCATCTTCCTCGTTTTTGAAGTTTAAGTTGTTGATAATGTGTGTAGTTCCACATGAGACCTTTGTTGTTGATGATGCGAGGGCATTTTAAAGTTTTCAATTCACTCTTTTTACCTGCAAGGCAATATGCCCCCACGCGGAGTGATTTATCTCTATCTAGATGTAATACTTTGAGGTAATTCGGCTGCTTACTGCATGGCACGATAGAAAGTGTTCCATCATCAAGAACTGAGACACAGTCTCTATTCTGTTTTACTTTTAGAGAATTGGCTAACATGCCGAATTCGATAGCTTCTTTTGGTCTCTTCATATGTTCATGTGATATCTGTTGAATATTCATGTTCTGTTTAAAATTTAGTTTAAATCCAAACATGTATTTTTGGTCTTCCCTTGCTGGGTCACAAAGCTGTGTTTTAAATGTTTCATTTCTAGAGGTTAAGCATTGGTCATTGTGTCTTAATTTGATATGTCTAGAGCTCTCAACAAATTCCCATACGTTATGTTCCTCTCTGCACAACCTCTGATACTTTACCCCGTTTAAAGTAGGAACGATGCAACCTTCTCCAAAACGGAATTTCCCGTCTGATGTTATGGCGAATATTCTGTCCGCAGCGCCTTGCAACCAACAGGTTGTTCTTGTCAAATGTCCTTCTTCAGATGGTCTGGCAATACACTCTTTACTCCCTTCGTGTGTCATTTGACCAAACTGCATGGCATCACTTGGAGGAATTTCCACCTCCGGGGCGATATTTTTCAAGAACCAGTCAAATGATTTACACTTTAAATCTCGTCGAAGTTTTTTACGTTCTTCTAACGACTCATAATCAATAGGTATGAGTTTCGATTGGGTTGCGTAGTAATATTTCTTGTAGTCGTCCATCCATACTTCTGCAACACGGATCATATTGCGCTGTATCACACGGGCTGAATCCCCTGGAAAGCTATATGGAAGTTTAGGCTTGAACAAGTGAGCCACTCTGCAGCATGGTAGTATTTCTATAGATCCTCCACACATCCAAATTCTGAATGAATGTTCAACATTTTCGCCTCCCCAAATGTCCATCTTTTCATCGTATGCACCAATTTCGAAGAAATAGTCCCGATTTATTCCGAATGCGCAGCCGACCATTGCTGGTGTGAGTATTGGCGCAAGTTTGTTATCTCGTCTGCTTATTTCTTCATCTGATAAACGACGCCAGTTGTATATGAGATCCCAACCAAACGTCCCAGTATCAACCCCACTCGCACCAATATAGTCCATATCTTTATGCGCTATCCCCTCCATCAGGGGTATGATGACTGTATCCCTCTTTTCCTTTATTCTCTGAAGAAGTGGCTCGATCCACATATGATTCACCTCACAATGCGAGTCCATAAAAAACAGCACCTGGCCCGTTGCAGCCTTGGCGCCTTCCAGACGTGCACGGATGAGGCCTTGGCGAGACTTAGGACGAATAACTCGTACCTTAGGGAGGTGCTCTACGTAATCATTAAGCGGCTCTAGTAGCCAGTCGTATGTACTAGCATCATCAACTAGAAGTACCTCTTGGAGTAACGACCGAGGTGTTCTTACTAAAACGCTATGAACTGTCCTCAAGAGGGTAGATCTGGCTTCATTGTGGAACGGTATGATAACGCTCACTGTTGGCAGATCAGTAACATCGTACATCAGTTTCTTACAATCACCGGGTCTACTATCCGGAACGGGTCGTAAATTACCTGCCTCATCACTCGCTGTTGTATTAAAAGAATGAAATCCCTCCGTTGGCATCCACAAAATTCGTTTCCAATCTGGACCTCCATCGCGTTCCTGTATGTTCACGTCATTTTCGGTAATGCTTTCCCCCGCACCCCAATCTACTTGCCCGGCTAATGGTCCATCGTGTGTCCGATCCGAACCCAGGAGACGCAAATGTCCGATATTTGTCATGTGTTCGCTATCTTTGAGATCATCTTCGATGTCTTCTTTTGCCCAATTAAAGTCCTTTATAATCCGATGGGAATCGTACTTCCCTGTGAACTTTATGTAAAGTTGAATGTTGAACAAAGTTGTAGCAAAAATTAAGGCTAAGAATAATGAGAATTCAGGTTTCATTTTGAGTTGTTTAAAATGTTTAATAAACATGAATGTGAGTAATAAAATGATCATGACAACAATTGTGATCATTGTGTACTCGAATATTAAAATTTAGTTTTAGTATTCCAATCATGTCGCATTTTATTGCCAGGAGCGTGATTGTACAACTGATACTTGATTATGATTAATATACTTTAATAATTTCCCTTTACAACGCACAAGTTTAATTTCGAACTTATGGAAAAGACGGTATAAGAACGGTAATAAATCAGGGATGGACTCACTTTATTTTGGCATAGTCATACATGTGACTATTACTAGGGTTGCTGCGTTTGTTCTTCTCGATGAAGATGTCCCTCTTCTTCGGTTATAACTGAGGTCTAAAGAAAGCTTACGTGCCCTGTGCCCACTGTAGCTGGTATGCTTCGAGCAGGTGTAAGTCCGACCACCTATAAGGTGCCAAATAAATCACATGTATTGCATTTTCTAATGTCTCTAAGGACTTCTGTAAAATAACGTGCATGGGACATAGACCACCCTCAGTATTACTATTAGTTTCGGTGCAAGCGCATGTCAAATGTTATACAGTTTATGACCTATCCCGGAGAAATTGACTTTTTATTATTCATTATTTATATTACGACACTGTCAGACTCATGTATGCTGAAAACCCAGGCCTCTTCCTTCTTATTTGCCCACTAGGGTAGAGTCCTCAATACGTAAAATTAATCACGTCTCCGTCATACCTTTTCCGGTTTTTATATAATACTATATCAAATGAATTATTTGGCCTTTACGATATTGTATTTCCTCTTCATTTAAAGAGGGCAGCACTACTCCATACATATATCCATTCGATTTATAGCTGAAATTATTACTATCCACCTTTTACTATTTACCTTAAAACTGTTGATGATATTCTTCGATAATATCATCATGTTTGATTTACAAATTATTGTTTAATTATTAAATATCCTTCATCGGTTTTACCAAAAGTGGTGACATATTTATATAGTCTCTAACTTTTTGTGGACTGTGCTCGGCGTTCGGCGTCTGTAGCAAATGACAGGTGGTGACATTTTGCATTTTATGCCTAGTTGTTTATGTCACCACCAGAAGGCTATTGTTATGGTCTCCAACATATTTGTGAATGGTGTTCGGCAGTTGGTGTTCGGCGGTTGATGTACGGCGTTCAGCGTCTGTAAGAAATGGCAAGTGGTGACATCTTGCATGTTGATGCCATGTCTTGAAACTATTAGACATTTTATTATTTTCACATAAAAATCACCATTCTTCTATGCATGAAATTTCAGGACTATGAGCAATAAATTTAACTTCCATAGATAATTTTAAGTTAAATTAGTTTTGTGAATGTCTTGAAAGGCTGAAACTCTTCAGTCAATCTTTGTTTTCAACTGTTATTCCAATTATGTTATGACTAATTTATATTTTGTCAAATACAAAGTAAATACAAGAGAGCATATTCAAGTGCTAATCACCATATATGTCCAATCTGAACCCCTTGGCAAACACCGGCTACGGGCCTTGGATGTCAAGCCTTCACATAACTGCAATTACTCTAGATTTTTCTCTTCTCAATAGCAATGTATTCATCATGTGTATTCTGTCAATATTTTCTGCTACTTACACGCGGGTCCAACTCGTTAGGTGTAGGCTGTAGAAAAATTTGATTTTTTTTAGAAATACCAGATGTTTGAAAAGCAAGGGTTTTTGTGAGGCTCATATACTGCACCGTTTTTCTTCAAACTCGTCTCACTTGTTTTCACGTATCACATTTTTTGTTTTTGTCTGTCTCTGTCCATTTTTCTATAGCTTTATTTAAATGGATGTGAAAATTCAATATTAGAACTACGCAATGAGACCTTCATAGCGTTAGTTCCTGCTATAAGGTGATAGGAGATCTGTCAGTCAGTTTTTTTTCTCAAAAACAGCTTGTCTGTGTGTCAGGCAGTCAGGTTTATTGATTTGTTGCATTATTCTCTGTTTCCAAAATACGTTCTGTCCAAAGTTTTGGAGGGATAAACAACGCATCAGTGATAGGCAATAAGGCTACTCGTGAAAACTGTTTCAAGGCTATGAACAAAAATGCACATCCAACAACATGCACTAAAGGACGGTATTTGGTCAATAATGTCATGGGAAGCGATATCGATGGAACAATTCAGAAAACCATTTCGGCTTTGAAAAAACAGCTTCTTTCAGACTGAAATAAGTGACTTTTCCATTGATATTGGATATTTTGACAATCCTCGCAGAATATGCAACCGATCTCTTTCATATTTATATATGCCTTTGCTAATGACACCTTAAAAAATATCAGAAAATTTGGCTTTTCTGTAGCTGAGAAAATGCTTTTCAAAAGGCGACTCGCTTTATTTGGGACACCCGATATGACCTGTCTGCAATGTCCAGTCTGTGGGTTTCTAAGCAACCGTTTTGTTTTCGTTGTTTGGTTGCAGGGTTGATATGAATAATTATTAAAATCTGTATGAAAATATCTAGAACAGATTTCACCATAAATGAGTAATAATCCACTTAGGATTTCATAGTATCAATAAAATGTATCTAGAACAGATTTCACCATAAATGAGTAATAATACATTGAATCCACTTAGGATTTCAAAGTATCATTAAACATCTTGGTGCAGAAGTTGTAAACTGTAAAACAAAACACTTGTAAGTGTAAACATGTATGTCCCCATTAAATCTTAAAAAGGGTATAAATATTTACTAAACTTCGTGCGACATGTTTGCTTTTGTTGTACTTGACTAATTACATCCTGTCGAAGTAGATCACCTTGACTTCAACCAGGATGTTGATCATCTCATCATCATGGTGATACACTGATTTAATCGTATACTATGTATGTTAACTTAGCACCCTCTCAACCAGGATGTTGTGTAATCAGTCCATTATCACGTTATCTTATGAACCGAACGTTTTTCCACTCTAGGGATGTGATGTCTACATATCTATCACACCCGTGATTGCTTTATTGTGATCAATTTGCCGGGCAGCGATTGGCGCCCGGCGTGTGGTCGCGTCGTAATTCAAGGACTGGTTCGAAATTTTGGGGGATGTTTCTTGGTTTGAAAATCCAGAAATACATATCTTCTAAACATGCAAAACTTTTAAGTAGCATTATTGACTCTCTGTTGAAGAAATGCTGCAAAAATAAGCTTGTATTCGCGAATGCAACTAACGTCTGTCGGCTACCGGATTAACCTTCTATTTTACTGGAAACTCATATAAATATGAAATAAGAATAGAACTTTCAACTATTCCATTCACATTTAAATGAGTTGGTCATAAAATACTAGGTTAATCCGGTAGCCGACAGGCGTTAGTTGCATTCGCGAATACAAGCTTTAAGGTAAGCTCAATTGTCTTTCCGATGAGATATCTGAAAGCCATAAAACATTTCTAGAATGTTTATACATAATCTGTTTTGAGTTGTCAATCTCAAGGATCATACAGTTGTTTTGCAATCTGAAGACATTTTGGAGTGGTCATAGTAATGAATAATGGCGACCATATAAAGACGATGTTGATGAAAACAATAATCTTGAAGTGGTTAGCTAGACGGCATAAAAGACGCGCATCCAAAACAAATTGCCAGATGAATATCAAGAAACGCCACTGAAACTAAAAACCAACTACAAGAAATTGAACGATAATTTTGCACCAGAATGTTTCCAGAAAAAGTTTTAAGCGAAAAGAAGGAGACTCCGGGTGTCTTTGTTACGCAGGTAAAATATCGTAGATTGTATTTATCACGTTCAGTATTAATACTAACCAAAATTTTCAATTCTAACAATTGAAAATAGATTCTAGCAATACTCTCTCGAATGAATCTAGTTATTGAGACTCGATAAACTTGAGTTCTTCTAAGATAATGAGGATTTTGTATCTATACCCATGATTTACATCGTCAGCTTTATCAGCTTTACGATGATTCTCCTTATGTTTAGATGTCCCCTGAAGCGACAGAGACGACATCTAAGGGTGGACTGACAAAGAAACATGTACTGATTGCCATAACAACTGTGCTGGTTACACTTCTGATCGTTGGTGGAATTGTAGCCGTTACTCATGAGATGAAAGAACGCGACGTAGAATTCATTAAGGTAAAGGAATCAGTTAGAAAATGACACTTTCTATTTTCGTTTGACATTGATCAGTGCACACTGTACTATATTAAATACAAAACGTATATTTTATGAATGATTAACATTTTCTTGTAATTTCAGAGCTTCAAATTTCGAGATACAAATGGCAAAGACAACGAGGAAACAGTGAATGTTAACGTAAAGGAAAGCACCACAGAAATGAAAGTAACTACTGAAGGAGAAGATGACTTCTCGCTACTCAATGATTTTAAGAGAGTAAGTAATATTCCCAAAATCCTGCTCTTTTTATCAGAGGGGGAATTTGAGGATATTTTTTTTATATTTTGGACCCTATTCTAAATAGGCCTCATTTTTCATTGAAAGCCCATGGATGGACTACTTATATATTCAATCTGCTTTTTTAAAATCATTGCTTAGTGCACCAATTATTTTTCATTTCAAAATATATTAAAAACTAACAGAAATATATTTGAATTCTTACATGCATTTTCATGAGAAAGGCTAACCAAACAAGTAATCAGTAATGTTCATCATTCCAGGGCATCTCAGTTTTCAAGATGACGATAGATGGCGAGCCTAGATGTGCAGTGACACCTATGAATAAGACGGCGACTCTTTCCCCTGAAACATTAGAGGCCTACTTGGAAACACATCCAGTAAGTATTTCACTAGTGTCTACCAAACTTTTTTATCTATTTAATTATTTGTACACACTTTTACAGCAGTGGCACGTGGGTCCTGAGGTCCCAGTGCGTCATATTACATATTAAAAGTACTCATTAAAACTATCATTTTACTTATTTGAAAATTGGATATTTTTGTTAATATAGCTTTGCATTTTTGGGATTCAATAGCATTGTTAAATGCCTTTTTTATGGTAGACAATGTTATGTAAACGACTGAAAAGTTTTAAAATATTAAAAATCAATCACCATCCAAGGCAGTCATGTACCAGTAAATCTATTTCAATGTTTTCAGCACCCTGAAATGGTTGATGAGAGAAGCGTTAGTCATGTAAAATACGAGATGGCCGAGGAGAACATCGAGGACACTGATTTCCTTGGATTCCGTATCAACACAATGTGTGAGGGACATGCCATTTATTGGTTGTACCCAAAAACGGAGGACGAAGAAATGAAAAATGTCACATCACAAGGTAAATGAAATGGTTTGATTTTTGATTGCTTGAATTGTTTTCTTACATTGCATTCGCTAATGTAACTTTCGGCTGTCGGCTACCGGATTAACCTACTTTTTATGACCATCTCATTTAAATATGAATAGTGCCTGCCACTATTCCATTCATATCTAAATGAGTTGATCATAAAATACTAGGTTAATCCGGTAGCCGATATCCGTTATTTCCATTTGCGAATACAAGCTAAGTTACATACACTCCCGCATAAAAGGTTGACACCATCTCCCTTGTTTAATCGCATTACATGTTATAATTATTATCAAAATGAGGAGTCAATTTGTCAAACGTTTTATAGATGAAAGTGTAATATTACAGAATTCGATTAAAAAATAACCAGCCTAGTTCTAAACTTTTTGATAATTTGATTTGCTAATTTATTCAGATATTCATGGTGCACAACAAGAAATGGGGAATATTGTTTTGCCACAGTTTTATTGCGACCAGTCTCAGCGTCTGTAACGATTGTTACATATATTTATTGTTACATATACAGTATGTAACCATTTGCAGGCGGTGGTATTTGTCATATAATGCCTTGTTATATGAACATTGTACACAGGTGGAGCCTGTTAGACACCAACACAATAATGTTCAATCTTTATCTTGCAGATGGCCGAAAGAAGAGAGCTGCTGGTTGGCCCGCTGATCTCTGCGGAGCTACACTATTGCGGAAATTCGGAATTGTCGGAGGCAAGTACTTGTGTAGAAAATACACTGATCTTGCAAACACATGTCGTGTGGATTGCTGCCGTGATATATACTCAAAGACAGTCATAGAAGGTGGTAAAGTGGTCGTCTACTGGTTTGGAACGCAGCCATGTTATATATACACTTATTACCCTTGCATCAGTTGTCTATACTAACGAGTATTAGTAGAGTATATAAGTTCATGGATTTGAACTTGTGGCACAATAATTAAAGATGGTTGGAGGTTATCAAAATAATTTGAATTATGTACGCATTTGACTTTGTGTTTTTATAAACAATAAGTACAGACAATTTTCATGTTAAAAAGTTTCGCACTATGTAAGATATAAGATGTTTGATCTGAAAATTAATATCTTAAAGGATTTTATAATCTCGACATTGATATTGTGCATTTTATGTATATTTGATAGTATGTATATTGGAGTTTAATCCTCATATTGAGACTTGTACCCATATAATATGAATATATAATCCTTATATTGAGACGTGTACCCATGTAATATAAATATAATCCATATATTGAGACGTGTACCCATGTACTATAATCCATATATTGAGACTTGTACCCACATAATATGAATATAATCCTTATATTGAGACTTGTACCCATATAATATGAATATAATCCTTATATTGAGACTCGTACCTATATAATATGAATATGACTTTTAGTTTTAGAAACAGTCTGAATCTATGACAGAATATTTTCCTGATTTTCCTCTCTCATTAGCATAATTAATGGTGTAGAATATACGATTTTAAACTATTAACGTGTAATGTGTAAGAATATCATATATTTATATAAATGGTGTATTATCAAATATAAGTGTAGTTATATTAAAAGTTGATCTCTTGAATAAAATGTACACATCTAAAATGTGGACCTGTATATAGCAGCCAGTCCTATATAATAATAAATGTCACTGTGGATCTCAGTATTTCTTTGAATTACTCTTGGTATTACTCTTTTTGAGAAAGAATGCGTGAGGAGGAATGAGACAAAGGCATACAAATATGATCACATGTTATCAAAAGTAAATGTAAATAAATGTATATAAGCTGATTCTATTTGATCTTAAATGGAACCATGGAAGGAAAATGAAAGGAATCGCCTTAAATTCCAGTTATTTTTTTGCTTAGTCATGGACTTCACGAGAGTTATTCAATAAAACTAAAACAAATACTCTCATTTTGTGTTTATCAATGAATCAAGATGTAAAGAGTGTCCATGAAGTCTCTTTACAATTATAATATCACACAAAGGCTGTGTAAAGTGTGAAGAGGCTTTATGGACACTCTGTAATTTTCAGTGATTGAAGGCTATATCACGAGCGCATGCGCAGCCACGTATGGTTGATGAAGAGGAGGCAACTGCCTCGCCAGATTTGCCTCACCAAAACTTTAAATATATTTTTCAGAGGTATTTTCAAAACTGAGGAAATGAAGTTTAAAGGTAGAAACCTACGTCCTTTTATCTCCTCAGTAAAATGTATTGGCCTAAGATCACGAAAAAAATGATTTGAAGTGCAATACAGGATATTGTCCTTTGACCTCGTCACGTGCAAAGCGGCAGAATTCGGAAATTTCGGAAAGATCTCAAAATTGACGCAAATTCCTGTTGGCAGCCATTTCGAATTTTCTGAGGCACAAATCAAAAAACAATACCATATTTTTGACCTACCCTAAATTTCCTTCAAGTTGAGTTAAATATAGCCATACTTTGAAAAGATCAGAAAATTATTGCGAAATGTCACATAAGGCGGCCATTTTGAATTTTATGAGACCCAAATTAGAAAAAACGATACAACTTTGCCATGTACTCTTAATTGACTTTCATTTGAGTATAATAAAGCTATACTTTAGAAAGATCTCAAAATTGACGCAAATTCTTGTTTTCCCGACCCCCCCCCCCCCCATACACAGCCCCTAGGGGTCTGGCTGAAAAACTCGGAATACATATGACATACAGTCGATAGGTGTTGAGAATATATTATCAAAAGGAGTGGTAATGATATGGTGAACTTTTTGAACACGCGCTTCTCTTAAATCAGTCATCAAAACATTGGGAAAATTTTACACATCGTCAATTTCATGGTCATCTTTCGGATGGTGCCATTATAATTTAAAATATATTTATACACTTTTCTCTATTTTGTTTTAGAAAACACATAAGACACTTCTTTTGTCCTTGGTATCATATGTTCGGAATGAAATGAAACATCTATCCGAACCTCATTGGAACAAAACGACATAAACACAACGTGTTTAGGTCTCTCAATATTGTAATTGTACAAAGGAAAGTTTGGTTAATTTAAAAAAAGTAACGATTCTTGCGCGTTCTTTTTTAAAAAAAGTATTTTTTACCAAAAAATTTCCTTTGTATAACTATAATATTGAGAGGTCTAAGAAAATGTTGTATATGTTATTTTGTTCCAACAAGGTTCGGAAAGACATCTTATTTCATTTTCAAGAATTGGTAGAAACACGAGGGGAAAGAGTACCCGTGTATATACAACCTACCGCCGAGCAAGACTCGCACATACCGCCGAGCAAATGTTTGATAATGTCATCTCGTAGGAAAATGGACAATAAAGGTAATATAATGTCACTAACAATTCCTTTGGATGGTTAGAGTTGTTACTAAGATGTTCTAGCAGGCGCAATTGGCCTAGAATTATAGTTGAAATATATGTTTATGTCCAAATTAAGAGATAAGGTAAACGTATAAAGGTTTTCGATGTGTTTTTCTAATTCATACTCGCTTTAATTGATAATGAGCCATACATAAGACATACTTGGGTCGGTAAATGGATGTACATATGCATAATATATTAAGTGTCAAAATATTATGTCAAAATAGCACTTTTGAACAGCAAAATCTTCACTTAAACTTTGTCCTAAAAGATCCGAGGTTATCGGACATCGGACCCGATGTGATCGACGAGTAATATTATAAAGATCCGAAAATATCTTGAGTAAAGGATCTCAGAATCCGAACATTACTTGAGTAAAATCTGTTGAGATCCGATTATATCGTGCTGATGAAAAAATAATAAACATTCAATCTGCATTATTTGTGAATCATTTTGTTGTGAACAATAAATGAAACTGAAAAAAATATGGCTATCACCAGTTACCACTGCACATCGAAACATTGTATTTCAGGTCCTCGGTACAAATGCTTCCACTGTAGTTATAAAACACACGAGATGGATGACGTTGTGGTCCACTTCAGTCAGTACCATCCATCACTGAGTATTAAAGTTAATGTGCCTGAATTAAATGGCAAAAAATGGATTTACAATGTTTTTGACTATGGTATTGTATCATCAAAGAAAGATCGCGGTAATTTTTGTTTCGAGGATATGAAGCTTGTGAAGCTTGGGATTCTTCAAGTTGTGTTCTTTGAGTAGAATGGCGCTTGCAATGCAGAATTAAATGTTTTTGGGTTGCACTCTTACCATAGACACATTATGGTGATTATGGTGGAAATTATGGTGATTCAAGTGTAAGCATGAATTCAATGTTTTAAAGAACTTTGCCGGAAACAGACGTTGACGTATAGTGCTGCGGGAATTATATCATATTATATTATATCCCGGTGCCAGGAGTATATGATAAATAAAAAGGAATATTTGTGATATCGTCATGATATTATATGCTCATTCGAAAGCTTACTCACTACCTCATCGGGTTCTACTCATGGTATAGTCGGAATAGCTCGGTGGTAGCTTCGGGTCCTTTATAATCGTACTCGTGACATAATCGGGTCTTTCATTTTCAACTTTCACCGGTGATTTCAATGATATGCAACGTATGGCAGTGAAATAAATATGATACGTTTACACCTATTGTATCTTTGAATCGAATGAAGTAAAGACAGCCATGGTTGTTACTTATTCAAGATGTAAATCATCATTCAAATATTTAAAAGTTGAATTTAGCGATTCGATAGTAAACATTGCACTAAGTACTCATTATTCTGCAAACATGAGTGCCTGGAACAATAACTTTATCAGTTACACACAATTCTGTGTTTTATCTGTTTCTCATATTGAGAAATTCAAGATACAAACAAAAGTTTATAACTCACCCCCTACATTTTCAGACATCTTCGGGTCTTTGCTCGGCGGTAGGTTGTATATACACGGGTACTCTTTCCCCTCGTGAGAAAGGAACAAAAAACAATTGCACTCAAAAACAAAAAACGTTAACAAAGACAGTTAAAACACATATAAATAATTTTTGCATTAAACATTACATAAAGGACCGTGTTTTTTACAGAATGTTTTCAATAATTGGTTTAAGAGAAAAAACATTGTTGAATTCAGTTCACCATATCGATACCTATCCTTTATCTAGTCACGTTCGTATCTTTGTGATAATATTTAATTATCTGAAGTTGAACAACATCTTTTATAGTTTTTTGTTTATTTATAGCAAGGACGTTCCCCTAGACCTATTTCTAAGAATTGTTTGAATGTACCTGGTCGCATATCCACCTTCAACCAGGAAGATATGAAAAATAAATCTTCACTCTCTTCATCAGTTCAAATACACAATATTCATGATCTCATTCTCTTTTCAAGGATGGGCGAATAAAAGCACATAGTATTTTTCATAAAACCCCGAGATTTCCCCCAAGATTGTGCATTTTAAAGTCAATAAACACCACAATGTGACCACTCTTTTACCTGTTCAAGAGTTTATGAGTCCCTAAAAAGGATTTAAAAATGCTGGAAATGCATTGCTTGGACAAACGATTTTTCCAAACATGTACCCTTTGCATTCGTCGACTTCACTTCTTAAAAGAGAGCTTCGTTTATAACTAGACTCTGAGCGAAGAATACCAAACATGCTAACGTGAATTATAAAAAAGGTTACTGCTGTGAAAGTGGTACAATTTCAGTTAGTCTAAGTGGTACCATTAATGTCCTGGATCCCTCTCCAAATAAAATAACAAAACAAGGCGTGTGCGGTTGGTTAGATGCCATAAGCTTGTCTGTTAGACTGATCATTGCCGGGAGGGGTGTGAGTGTAGACACCGCGATCCCCGGGGTTACGATGGTCAGTCTAAGACGCCGCGTTTTAATAAAACCCATTGACGTAACTCGACAGCCCCCGCCACCGATTTATTGCATGTACTGGTACTGTCAGTGTTTCAGGCAGGCATGCGAGCTGTGCAGACAACAAGAAGGTACCCTTTTTGGGGCAGGTCTGTTTTAACATGAACTTTGTCCCCCCCCCCTTATGGGGCAGGAACGTGGGTGACCAAATTGAGGCAAAAATGGAATGGATAAAGCTGGTGATGATAGGAAAAAATAAAAATAGAATAAAAAAATAGTTTTTAGAAAACGAGGAAACAAATGAAGAAAAAATTAAGAAAAAATTGAAGGTGGGTGGGTGAAAATCGCGAAACAGTGTGGAAAACTTGAAATGAACGGTTTTGTATGAAGTTAAGACGCTTGTATGTTGTGCGTTGACTGGCAAATCGAAATCATAAACTAGAACGTGTGGTAAGCAAGGTGAGCGGATCAGAATGGATGTGCAAATAAAGGCGTAACATTAATGGACCAATCCCATTCACCAAGATTTAATTCAAAAACATAACATTATAGAAATGTTTACATTATTTTTTCTTAGAAGGACCCTGTCCCCAAGCCTTATATATCAAATGGGGTAAGGGCGTCATAAACTTGTTTGACTTTTGAGCATAAACTAACATACATAAAAATTGATCAGTTCTGAGTAATGATACTTATGCCCATATAAATAAAATATTTTGAAAGATATTTCGGAGAAATGATGAATGATGACATCATGCTCATTAAAAGAAAATGTTTATTGAACAAAGCGGGTTGGTTATAAAAGACGTGCGTCTGAAATATGTTGCCAGATGACAAGCGAAGACGAGAACCAAAACCCCACCAGAGACTGAGACGGGGAATTCTATTGAACGATAATATTCTATCAAAATGTTTCCAGAAAAGATTCTGAGCGAAAAGAAAGAGGCTCCGGGTGTCATAGTGACGCAGGTAAGACTATAACGCTATATACTTACAAAATATACATTCTGATTTCTGAAACTCATCACATCTTTCTGTCTTCAACCATAGTAGTAGTGTGAAGCTAATAGAAGGCCATGATTTCTCATGATGCAAAAATATCGGTAATAGGAATACGAATTAATACTAGTATGCCCTTAATTTAATTTTTTACTTATATTAATGATTATTACTTTTATTAGTTGATTTGCAGGGGGGGGGGTTAACCCCAGAGATCAAAGATAGCGTACGCTTTTAATGTGAACCTGTATTGAGATGATACGCGTCCCTTCAAAATACGCTTCGAATTATAATATAATGTTCATTTCTGGCGTGTTAACCAACATCATTGCTTCTTATGTCATATCAAGATAAAAAAGGTGTATGGAATATGCCTACATCAATTAAAACATCACGTCGAAGTGTAGCATTTGAAAACTAGCCGGTGAAAATTCGAACAAACGAAGGTGGTAATTAAGCAAAAAACGTAACAATGCCTGTTATCTAAGCTGTGGGGCTTTCCCTCCTCTTGTTGATTTTCAATTTCAATTGCCATAAATTACAATTATATTTAGATGTCCCCCGAGGCGACAGTGTCGACATCTAAGAGTGGACTGACAAAGAAACATGTACTGATTGCCATAACAACTGTGCTGGTTACACTTCTGATCGTTGGTGGAATTGTAGCTGTTACTCATGAGATGAAAGAACGCGACGTAGAATTCATTAAGGTAAAGGAAACTATCCCAATCCGAATCCGAATCACATATTTGATTTTATATATCGTGATGAGAATATGCCTTTATTTCTGTTTTTGTTATTAATATTTTAGGAATATCCTTTGGTTTTGAAAAAGTATCATGTATCTTTTAGCGGATATTGATATCTCCACGAGTGAGCGCAGAGACTGAGTGAAGATATATAATATCCATGAGTGGATATTATTGATATTTTTGAAAAACCATAGGATTGTTCGTTTAAATTATTACCCGGCCAGCGAAAAAAATTGTTTCAAATTTAGAATGTTTTTAAATGAAAAAATAAAAGAAATTTTGAAAAATAATTCAAATAAATTCAGAAAAATTTCGAATGATATTTTCAAACCCCCAAAAATTAAAAGAAATTCTGAAAAAATGTCTTATTGAAACCATTTAAAATAATTTAAAAAAGAATGGCTTCGGATTTTTGCTAAAATATGATATATTTATAGATCTACATATCAGTTCTAGCATTAGGAATAAAGCAATTTTTGGTGATTTTGAAATTGATTTTTTCGAGTGTGACTTTGGAGTATGTCAAGGCTGTGCCCTTTCTCCAATTCTGTTCTTATTTGTCATGAATGGCCTAACTGACCGCCTGAACAATGAGAATCTAGGGATACCACTTTCGAGTATATTGGCTGCTTAGTCAAAAGGTTAATACGTTTGGTGCCCGGAGTGAGTCAATATTGCTATTCGCTGAACTTCAGTGGTGCAATAGTGAAGTCCATGTTCCAAGTTATATGATGGTTGAAGAAAGAATGTAAATAATATCGTTTTAAAATTTAAAATATTTGATATGTCATAGTACAAGTATATGCTTGGGGATGATGTTTTTATAATGTGGGGAAATGAAATAGGAATTTGACAATTGTTTTAAAACGTTTTTAACAGAGGTGTACATACCATATTCTGGAAAACCATGATTACCATTATTTTAGTAAATTATAGGTTTTTATATGTACATAACTTTTTAATGAATGTCGACGCTCCTTTCATACTATATATGAATGCGAGCCACTGGTTTAAAAGTGTAAATCGAAATAAATAAATAAATAAAATAAGTATCAATTATATCTTCAGATGATATTCGATCTATATTCTTGCAACCATGAGATAAAATCATCTATACGATATCTTTATTTTAATTTACATAGTTTTAAGAGAAAGTATTTATGTTGCCAGTAGGGTTTTGGTAATTTTTGCTTAGATATGATATCTTGATCTACAAGATAACTTATCAACATATCAAATATATCTTAAAACGACACATCAGCTCATCCTGTAATTTCAGAGCTTCAAATTCAGAGATACAAATGGGAAAGACAACGAGGAAACGGTGAATGTTAACATAAAGGAAAGCACCACAGAAATGAAAGTAACTACTGAAGGAGAAGATGACTTCTCGCTACTCAATGATTTTAAGAAAGTAAGTTTTAAGCTCACTATTGAGAATCATTAATTGTGGTAGTTAAACGACTTATTTATTTTCAGAGAACATTGTTATATCACAGTGGAGTATGAATTGTGCATTATTACATCTAGAGAGGTTTAAAACGGGGTTAGCTTTGGAGAATCTCTACACCCCAAATACCAATATTGGCCATCTCATATACTTGTTTTGCATTAGTTTTGTCACTACCTAAGACATAGTATTTCCGTGTTCAATAAGTTATTACTTGTATTAGGGCATTACCGTCTTCAAGATGACGATAGATGGCGAGCCTAGATGTGCAGTGACACCTATGAACAAGACGGCGACTCTTTCCCCTGAAACATTAGAGGCCTACTTGGAAACTCATCCAGTAAGTATATTAAGAGAACTACTTCTTTGTGAAATCACTTCTGATGTTTGCGATGATATAGTCATAGTTATTTTTTCTGACAGGAATTCGGTGTCCGTCAAGTTACATTTCTATCCCTCACAGGTTATGGACAATAAAAATTCAAACATAAAGAGGCTTTAACACGTAGTTAAATGAAGGAGCTAAGGTTTACAAACTTATGGAGGGGAGTGTAAGTCGTATTACATAATCCTTACATTTTCAGCACCCTGAAATGGTTGATGAGAGAAGTGTTAGCCATGTGAAGTACGAGATGGCCGAGGAGAAGATCGAGGACACTGATTTCCTTGGATTCCGTATCAACGCAATGTGTGAGGGACATGCCATTTATTGGTTGTACCCCAAAACGGAGGACGAAGAAATGAAAAATGTCACATCACAAGGTAAATGAATGTTTTAATGTTAAGTTCTTCAAGTATGAGAATGGCGCATATTCTGATATTACAAGGCAACTCGTTGGTAGCATGAGATTTTCTTAGACAACAACAATGTGAAAAAAGAAAATTAAGAAAAACGTTTAAAGGTTTAGATTGAAATATTTGACAGTCATGATTCATGAAGATGAAGCCAAAGATTTAAGATTTAGCCTTACCTTATTTTGCATTACTCATTCCCTCCACTTTAAATCGCATGTAATCTTGCAGTTGGACGGGAGAAACGAGCTGCAGGGTGGCCTGCTCGCCTCTGTGGACAAGCCATGGTTCATTATTTCGGTATTTCTGGAGGCCAGTACCTGTGCAGAAAATATGCAGCGCTCCAAAACACGTGCCGTGTTGATTGTTGTGCAAGGGTCTACACGAGAAGAATCTTGCAGGCTGGAAAGTGGGTTAACAACTGGTTTGGAGTTCGACCTTGTGTCACTTTCAGTCGTTACAGATGTATCAATTGCCTCATATAAATGCAGTGACATGGACCCTTGAAACATATCCTTATACCTTACCGAATACTAACAAAGGATTGACTATGAATGACATGGACACCATTAACGCTCTCCAAACACTCATCAGTTCATCAGATTTGATGTTGTACTTGTTTAAAACAAACAAATTGTTTGAGTTACACATTTATACATCTTCATCGGGTAAACTTGATTTTTACATCACAATATACAGGTACAGGTAAAATTTAAATTGCAAACTTAAATTTAACTATTGTAATACAAATGGAGAAAGCATACAATCATATATGTTGTAACCAAGTAACTCAAACAATTTGGTCATGAATCTTTGAAAAGCTAATCTCATTTTTATAGATATAATCAGAAAAACATTTCCAATGACAAAAGCAGTGATGACTACATCAATTCCATATAGTTTACCATGAAGCCACGCACGTGTCTCCTCTTTATAATGACAATATCATGTCATTTATTCATATGTGACCAAGGACCACTGACTATTCATTCCTTAAATGTACATCATCAGATATCATTAAAATGGGCTGTCTTCAAGTCATGCTTTAGAAACCCATGTACTGTCTTCGTTTCTGTTTCTCTGAGAAACTGTCTTCGTTTCTAAGCGAGGGAATAGTTTTGTGATTATCCCCAAATTACTGAATGTGTTTCTTAAGTATATCCATAGTAAATTTTTGATGTAATAATCACTGGTTTTGTGGCATTACAATTTTTGTCTGTTGCGTTTTTTGAGACACACTGGATGATGGAAATAGATATCATTATTGATCACAGAATCCTCTTACAACTTTACAAAATCAAATTTTCTGGATATGGAGTTTTTGTCGTTACTAGAGAGAAACTAATTCAAGGCCATGATTTCTCACGGTGGCCTCTAGCTATGACATCAGTGTATTCTATAAGAAATCACTAGACTGTATTTTCCCCGAAAATCATTGGCAATAGTTCAATCCAAACATGTCGTCAAATAATGTCATGTTTTGTTTGTATATTTTTGAAATTAGTGTATTCTGTGAAGTTGTCAACCGCTCCTTCCATCTCCCTATAATACCTGAAATTAATGACAAATATCCTGAGTCAACAAAACCTAATATCAAGGCTTCTTAAAAAATGAATCAGCTGTTTACCATAAACTAATATAACTAGCCATATAACTAGTCATAAACAAAGAGAAAGACACGATGGATTAAACAAAATATTGACACATAGGCCTCTAAGTCATTAACTCTGCACTTAAAGGTGTTCACAATTTATAATCTGGTCTTGTATCAAGACTGAAATATCTGAGCATCCTATCCTATTTAATGTTACTTCATTGAAGATCTGGCACCGTTATGATTACGTTATAATTACAGTGGGATACACAAGTGCTTGTTGCAGAGCATAAATATCTTGGTATGTTGAAGGAGTGGCCTACAGCATCCATCGGATAAAATGAGAGCGTCGACAATTTCTTTTGAACTGAAAATGTTGTCCCCTTTATAACTAGCATCTAAACACTACATTTTGTCAGAGTTAAAAGGCCCATATATTCCATATATACAGGGTGATCCAGAAGTAACGTCAAAGACATTGTAATTTCAAAAGTATTCATCAGATCTTCATGAAATTTGGTATACATGTACCCACAACATTTCTGAGTTACCATCTCAAAGATTGGAATTCAATCATTTCATTGGTTGAAATTATGGTTGCTATAGTAACCCGATATCGCGTAACCCGGGGCAAATTACTTAACGTGTAATGCGTAATCTCAAAATATCAACAAGATCTGAAATTGTTATATCCTCAACATTTTATTTCACAACAATATAAATCATACTATTGCACAGTTACTAATAATAGTTCATTCTACATAATTGCCACCATTTGCAACACATTTCTCATGTCTGGATACCCATTCCTTGAACACAGAATTAAATCCATTAGAACTCATTCCTTGTAGGGCTAGTACTACGGCATTTTTCAATTCCTCACAGGATTGAAAATTATTTCCACTAAGGTTTCTTTTTAGTTCCCCATACAAATAAAAGTCACTGGGGGCAAGATCAGGTGAATAAGGGGCATGTTCAAGTTGTTGAAATTCAAGTGTTTGGACTGTGTTGCTGGTCAGGATTGCAGTGTGCGTAGGGGCATTGTCCCAATGCAAGATAAACTGCTGCAGATGTCCGGGACGCTTTTTCCTCAGGGAACGTTGAAGATCACGCTTCAGAACCTGAAAAACAAATGTTTAATGGTTGTTAAACCAGTTGTTTCATTGATTGGATTTGGATTTGAATCATGGCCATGGAGTTATAATTATATTGACAGTGAACAACATTTAAATACTTTAATTTAAAAATAAAATTCACAGTATGATGTATTATTAGAACAAATGATATCTTACCTTTGCAATGTAAACGGCATTAATTCTCTGGCCAATGGGAACAAAATGGGTTAACACCATTCCTCTAATGTCAAAGAATGTCACAACCATTTGTTTCTTTTGTGGAATTCCTGGTACTATTTTAGGCTTGGTTGGTGTTGGGGAGTTGTCATGTTTCCACGATGAACTTTGTTGCGTGGTCTCTGGGATGTAGAATGATAGCAATGATTCGTCACTCGTAATGATCTTGTTAAGAAAGTCATCTCCATCTCTCCGATATTTTGCAAGAAAGTCCCTTGAAGCCTTAACACGCCGGTCTTTCTGCTCCTGTGTCAAGTCATGCGGCACCCATTTAGCAGACACCTTATTTAACAGACAGTTCTTTGTCAGTATCCGTTGCACAGTCCCATAGCTCAGATCGTGTTTTTCAGCCAATTCTCTGATAGAAATTTGCCTATTGTCCATAACATCAGCTTCAATTGCTTTGATGGTTTGATCATCGAATGACGACACTGGCCTGCCTCCTCGCTGCTTGTCTACCACTTCATCACATCCACTGGAATACTTGTTAAACCACCTGTAAATGTTTCTCTCAGCAATGGCAGCTTTACCATATGCCTTCTTTATCTGTCTTATAGTCTCTTTTACACCTTTCCCCAACTTTACACAGAACTTAATGTTTGTTCTTTGCTCTATTTTACTCTGACTTGGCGCCATCTTGAATTGGGTGGGTTAGTGTCCTTGGTCATGTTAGTATTTGTCATGGATGATGGAAGCAATTCAAAGAAATTGAAAGCTTTTTATGAATGCCTATTGTGACATCACAACTATTACATATTTGTTACCATGGCAACAAATATAAAAATCATAGAAAACAAACAATGAACATTTTCAAATGTTACTGACTTTTTAAATTAGAGAAATTCACAAAAACGTTATGGTTTCTCTTCAATTTGCCCCGGGTTACGCGATATCGGGTTACTATAGCAACCATAATTTCAACCAATGAAATGATTGAATTCCAATCTTTGAGATGGTAACTCAGAAATGTTGTGGGTACATGTATACCAAATTTCATGAAGATCTGATGAATACTTTTGAAATTACAATGTCTTTGACGTTACTTCTGGATCACCCTGTAGGTCGATTTGCGGGATCAAGAATTTTCTTATACTAGACATACTAACATTTTATCCCAAGGGTGCATAGGATGGCGGGATAAAAGTGTTTCTCAGAACATTTTATCCTGGCGGTCCTGGCGGATGAGGGGATAATTTTTATCTAGGCGGTGGACGTTGGGATAAAAATCACTTATATAATCTCATGATTTTTGGCAATCATCTGGATAAACTATTCTTAGAATGTCCCGGGATAAAAGCATTTCCAAGGAAAGGTTAAGCGCAATCATCTTAACACATTCTGGTGCACGTATGTACATACCTTTATCTATTGTATTACCATCAGCATTGGCTTTATAATTGACACCATAGGCTGCGTTCTTGTCTTTCATATTGTCCAATGATGTCAAACTTTTGACTAAAGACCGTAGTTCATTGCAATTTGAATCGGGCATTATAAAACTTTCAATCTCTCGTATTTTTCCCAATGTATCCTGAAACGAAGTGTACATATGTATTTAGAGTAATTCTTAGTGAATGTCAATAGCAAATGTAAAGTTTATACATCTCAGTTTTTTTCTATCCCACTAATTAACTAAATTCACAGTAGGTATATTTATTCAGCAACTGGGCAAAAAAACGAGAGCTTCAAAGTCCGAAAAAGTAATGATGTAATTTGTCCTGAGGTTCCATATACCGTTTGAAAGGCGAGAGTGTTAACTTTGAGGACCAGCCTTCTTGGTGCTAACATGTAAAGGTTCGCTATTTATAAAATTGTCTTATTCCATCACCAAGGGGTTAATTTAGCGGAATTCTATTTTATTGTAAAATATTATTTTTTTTGAAAATAAGCAAGGAAACACCATGTTGAATTACTATGACATTCTGGTAAAATAAATAAGAAACTTTTAAATTGTTTAAAATTTAATTTTGCATGTCAATTTTATTTGAAATTGTTACCTAAAATATGTGTCAGGTTTCTATGATTATTAAAATCTCGGGGTATAATAAAATATTATATATCAAGTAACGTAAATTGAAGTGGAAAAAGCTTAATTTAATTTTTTCTTCTTTAGTTTTGTTGTTACAACAAAAGTAAAAATACATATTTTTGCCATTTTGCTTGAAATGATCTGACAGTTTTGTTGTTCATAAAACATATCAAAATGAAGAAACAAGCGAATTTGAAGGAAGGCTACATGAATATAGATGTTGAACAAACCTTGTGCAGATCCTCGTATTTTACAACCATTATTTTATTTTCTAAATATTTGGCCTGTTTCAACCAGCCGTCCACATGCTCAAACCAAGACCCACGTATAACTAAAATAAATGCAAATGGTTCAGTTGCACACATAAAATTAGCAAGCAAAAATTGTTCCGATTCCTCTTCAGCCTATAAAAATTTAATTCCGTTATCGGAAGCCAAATAATTATGACATTCTACTTGAGGTCTTTCTAGCTGCTAATTACCATTGCCATCAAGAAAAGAGGGAAAGAATCCCGACCATTCTCCATTGTATTCGTACTCAGGCAGCCGCTTCAAAAACGGGAACCAAGATACAGCTACGTCCCTGGGATCACGTACCAAGTAAAGAATTTTACACTTCGTCTGGTAAAAAGAAACTAGATTAGGCAATGCAATTCAATATATGAGCCTCAACACAGGAACACCAGTCTATAATGAAAAAAACTTGCCCATGGAAAATGGCTCATTTGAAAGGTATTTGTGATGAGACCCCCTTTCCGATGCACTGGCTCATATAATTGCATTGTTGATTTTAAATTGGTTTATAAATAAAAAGACGACTCAAAATAAAACCTTGTTGCACAACATAAACATATTTAGTAGTAATGCATGTAGTTGACTTATTCAATTCTAAATATATTGTGCTTTTACAACATGAGTTATACTTTATATATTACTACTACTCAACCAGGATATGATCGAATAGTGTGAGCATAATAAATTTCTAATATGCATAGACGTAGCCAAGGAAGGGGGCGGTCTTGCGATGGGTGCGATGCTTTTTATTACAAGCTTCAATTTGTGTACAATTGTGTTCCACCCTGATGGAAAACCGAAAAAAAATTGGCGATCGCACCTCCCCCTGACTGAAAGCTGGCTACGCCCTGCGATGTATATGATCCATTTGGTTTCTATTATAGGCTAGAGGTTAGTCATATCAATAATTAAAGACACTGACACTTTGTTAGACTAGAACAGTCAGACACGTTTACTTACCGTGAATACTTCCCTTGGTATGAACTGGCTGTGCATGTGACTGTTGAATATACGCCTCTCTTCTGTACTGATGACATCAAAATAATCCTTCTTGTTCAGTTCCCAAAGAAATAACTCTTTTGCGATAGAATTTGTTGGAGGAACTCCTTTGTTCACTAGAAGATAGACGATCTCCCAAAGCCAATGGGACCCTAAATCAAGAGAAACATTCTGTCTGCAGTAAATTGATATTTATGTAAAAATTAAAGAATTTCAGGGTTCCAACATTAGAAAATATAGTTTTAGAGATGTTCTGTGAAATAACATTACTACTATGTTAGCCTATGGTAATTCTGGAAAGCAGTGTTTGAATTTGCTAATGATGCTTTAGCCACTTTCACCCGCTGCATTGCAGGGGCACGGTGACCAAGAGTTAACAGTGCAAATTGGCCCGGTCGTGTTTTTTCTCTCTTTAGTCGTGTTTTTGGAAAATTTGAGAGGTAGGTTGATAAATTTGGTCATGAAATTGCTGTCACTTGACTTTATGTAAAAGTAAGTAATTTATATTCCTTTCCATACTATATATTTAAACTTCAGGTATCCGTAAACGTGTTATTTGCACGAATCGTATGCTATAGTCGTGTTATATCGGAAAGTGAGCAATTCTGTCAGTCTTATACATATTTTTGCCTGAAAATCACTAGCCTGACTTGTATTCAATAAATACATCGATTCATAAGGAAAGCATTCACAATATGTGCGAAATCCACAAGTTAGAAGAGCTTAAATAAGCAGCAATTGACCGAATAATATTTTTTAGATTAAACTCTTTAGACGTGTTCAAACGATTGCGGTTAATGACGTTGACTTGTTACTGGAAACATTTATACGTGTAGAGACATTGAGGTTTAATGCTTTGGAAATGGGAAACAGCACAATTAACATTATGTATTTATATTAATAAAATACTTAAATGTTCTAGTTCTTTTAATGCTGTAAATTGTTCACAATTCTAAATCAAGAAGTCGCTCGTATTTCTGTCGTATCATGTTGCCGAAAATCAGTGCGCAGAATTCATGGTGTTGTTGTAAAATGTGCATATTGTCGTTTGAAACCCTCTCTAACGCAATTTTATTATAAACTAACACCTTAGGGTTAAACTTTTGCTCGAGGAATTAACTCATTTTCATCAACAAATATTAACCCATCAGGTTTTCTACTAGTAAACTAACGTTTAAACCTCAGTCCATTGTCGTTATCACTTACTACTATATCCAAGTGAGATATGGCTCTTGCCTCAGCACGAGCCAATAACAAAATATGTGAATAGTCATATAGTACAAACACTCATCTTCAAAATACTAATGCGATTATTTTCAGAAGCACAGACAAATTATTAAGCAACAAAACATGTGAAATGTGAACACTATTACACTATTACACTATTTGTCACGTCTAAGACGTTATCTTTACAATTCCAAAACGTTAACATGCTTGTTATAAGACACGTCCATGACGTTATGTTGTCCCTTCTCCATAGTTAACTCCACTTTCTACATTTACGGTCATTTATGGCAATTTTAAGATAAATACAGTTAAAATATTTACACGATCTTTAAACTAGTGTATATTATTCCACGTTGTTGAATGGATTGTCTGTTTAAACTTGATTAAATAACACTTTAATGCAAATTAAGTACATATTTCTGGCACTTTTGGTATATAATTGCGATTGATATGAAGTATGATGGATTTATCCCCAAAATAGATTCGTGGGTATGAAGAAGAACATCTTAGATAGAACTCAAGATATGTAAGTTTGTAAAATATTGAATATTCTTATCTTTTTGCTCCATTCTAACGAATGTCGCATCCCATGTTCTTACAAAACACGACTAAAGAGTTTGAAAAAACACGACCGGGCCAATTTGCACTGTTAACTCCTGGTCACTGTGAGGGGTGCAGTGATGTTAAATCGAGTACACAAACCTGAACGGGGATAACCTACGATCCAGATGTCATCATCTCTTACTTTGAACACATCGGCATCTTTGTGTAAATTACATCTGAAGAATGGGTCGTAGATGGCACCATCTATCTTTAAACACCGAAAGGAATCGCCATTCGCATCCGCCCCCAACTGGCTTTCTTTGTTAACTTGTAGAAGTTCTTTTATTGGTTTGAACTGTTCTTGGGGTGTAGCCATTTAATATCAATCGACGATATATAAAGATAAGCATTAATTTACTAACTTCTATCTTGTAAAAGGTTCCTCCCAGCCTGTATAATCTTCCTCGGTTAAAAAACTTTATGAAATACTAGAAAAGTAAAAAGGCCGAGGTAATACGCCGGCTTTCACCTTACTAACACACTGGTCTATGCCTCGGCACCTTATCTCATTTCTTTCTTGTTATGAAAATGCAAATCATGACTGGGTTCGCATTCACAGTACCTTTTATATTTATTTCTACCCCAACGGCATTGTTTTGCGATTTACCCAGTTCACATATTTGCAGACCATTCCATTTTGTCATATGACAGAAATCCCTGCGTTGGAGAGCATTTTGCATTATTTAAATTACAAACTAAACGTATTAAAGTAAGATGCCGTTATGGGAAATAGTGTAATCAGATGCATTATTGTTATATCAAGTAGAATTTGTATGTGATACTAAGTTGTGGACTTTGGACTTACATCTATTGTATGATTAACTTGGTAAACTACTGTAGTACATGTCATTTACGAGATTCCGACTTTCTTGTTAAAGCAAGGCACTGGTATTATCGTTTCGGTAACAACATGTCGGAACGTCGAAGGTACAATTTTTATTTCACGCGTCGTAGGCAGAATCCCGGCATTTTTTCTCACAAACGTGTATTAGTATGATATGTTTTAGAAAATGTACATGTTTGCAAAAATAGCGCAGAAGACATCAGAATCGTCGATTTAATTCCTCACTTAAGGTGCCATGATACTTAACAGGAAATGACAAAACAGGAAGTGACATAAAATGTTGCATTTTTAGACATTTTTTGAACAAAGATAACAGAGTTCTGTTTTGACCTCCAGTCAATTCAACTAGTTCCACATACCATTTACAGGTCCAGGATCACAATGTTCTTGGTCAGAATGACCCTAAACATGATGAAATAACCCTTTCAGCCCTCTGAAAATGTGACTGAAAAATAGCTAAAAGTAGGAGGTAGGAAAGGTCACTGAACAGAATCTTTTGAATTTTTTCAGAAAATGTGCCCAATTTATTGCTCTTAATGATACAATCTTTGAAAATTTGATATCATTCATAGAAAAAAAAATGAAAAAACTGATTTGAAAAGCGATCTTTTTTCCTTTTTATGACCGCCATTTTTGTGTCAGACAATGTTCTAAAATTTCAAAGATTGTATCAGTTGAAGCATCATATTGGGCACATTTTCTGGAAAATTCAAAGGATTCTGTTCAGTGACCTTCCCTAGCTCCTACTTTTAGCTATATTTCAGTCACATTTTAAAAGGGCTGAAAAGGTTATTTCATCATGATTAAGGTCATTCTGACCATGCTCATTGTGATCCTGGTCATGTAACTGATATATAGAAATAGTTAAATTGAATGGAGGTCAAACCAGAACTCTGTTATCTTTGTTCAAAAAATGTCTAAAGTCCCCGTCTTAAGTTTGAAAATATATTTTTATCATTCATTCATTTACTATATTTGTCATGACTTAAAAAGTTATTTTAGAGATTTTTGAAAAAGAAAATATTTTTGAAAAAAAGTTGTGAGCATTTCATTTCTCAAAAATTCAAATTTCCCGCCATTTTTCAAAAAAATATGAAATTCTTTAATCGTCAAATATTTCTTAATGCATTTCAAAAAGTATTATCTTTTTAACACCAATGCAAATATTCAACAAAGGACACACTATTTCAATAATAAAATGCCATATTTAATGGTCCACTTCAATGTTTTAGCATATCAAAAATATTTTGCAACATTAGTGATGTCATTATGACTCACTCACTGATGAGTCCATTTCTCACTTATTTATAAACCGATTTTGTTAATTTTTGGGCAAAAAACATGTTATTATAACCTATTCACTCATTCAATAGTTGAATAGTAAAAAAAGTTCAAATTATAAACTACTTTCACCATACACCAGTGCACTGAAGCTGAACTAATTACACCAACTGCCTTCTCAATACACTAACCTCATGGTCAATACAAAATAAATCCTAAAGTTGGATAATGGACCGTTTACCGTTCATATGAGTCTTTGTAGGGGTTAAGCTAGATAAACCTTTTTATTACTGGATCTTAGAACTAATGGCCTCAGGCCAAGGCCCTTGACCAGAATTCTTCCTAAAACCTAGTCCTCAAAATTCCTCCTGCAAAGTTTTGGATAAAACTAATGCTGTGAGAAATGTAGTTTGAGACAAATGATCTAGTTTATCAGCAAGCCATAAACAGATTTTTTATTTTTAAAATCATCTACACCTCAGCTTTTTAGTGTTTTAGCATTTTTGAGCACTTTCAGAGACATACATAAATATCATGTATGTCAGTTTTATTGGGATAATCTTTCATTGAGAAATTCCCTCCACAGGTATATGTATTATACAGGGTGTATCAAAAAGACAACATGCATATAATCATTTTTAAGGAAAATGCTCTGAAGAGGGTTGCCCAAGGATGCCACTTAACAGTTCTGGTATTTTTTAGGTCCCAACCCTCTATTCATGTGAATAGTTAGCCATTGTAAAGCTACTGATGGTAAACTAACAAAATTGATTGTATCCTCATCTAAGAAGTCAATAAAATGTTAAAACCAGAAAAAAAAACTTTGTTCTATTTACCAGGAGTAGGGTACTATAAAGTCAAATTAAAATTATAAAATAGCACTTAATCACTATAATAGATGTATTACAATATCAAACATAGCTTGAGAATGTTGTTAGAATACTACTTTGAGCTGTTAAAGTTATCATATTTTGCTTGAAGCTACAAGTATGAAATAAGCAAGAAAAAATGACAAAAAATGCATATTTTTTTCTAATTATAATTAGACTCCAGATGAAAATCTGGAGTCTATTGCTTTTGCCAGTTTTCTTTTTATTATTAGACTCCAGATGAAAATCTGGAGTCTATTGCTTTCGTCAGTTTTCTTTATTATTATTATTTTTCTTTCAGAATCTTCCTCCTTCCCAGATTTCTCACCAACTAAAAGAATTTACTTTAAGCTGCTTACATGATCAACTAGGGGCAGTACCTGGGATGATGGGAAATTAGGTCAAATTTTTATCTAGGTCAAGGGTCAAGAACTAGGTCAAATCAAGGTCAAATCAACATTCTGTCAATTATCTTCGTTGTTGTTTGTCGTAACTACTTCATCTTAGTTTCTACATGTAGCTTAGAAAAAAACAAATCGAGAGTGTGCCATCCGTTTTTTGATTACTCTTAGCGATTTTGAGATATGGCGTCCTGAAAGTAGGTCAAAACCAAAAAGTTCTCCAAATTTAACATATGAGCTATGAAATAAGGGTAGAATTTTCTCAGGAATCCGAATCTGCAAACCAAATTTTGATACGACTTCCCGTTCGGAAGTTATGGCGTTTTGAAAGCTCAAAAATCGCTAAATTTGGTGCCCATGTTAAGTCAATGGGAAAAAAGATTTTTTTGAAGTGAAAAATACGAAATATAGACTGAGTTCAGCTAAATATAACGAAAGCTTTTAAAAGAAGGGGACCTCACAAGCCATCTAGCTTCAAAATTTGGACACCAAAATGCCTAGGTCAAAATCTAGGTCAAATTCAAAGTTTTTCCTTATTTTTGCGATTCTGACACAACAGATTAATTATATTCTTCGAAATTTTGTATACATGTAGCTAAGAGTCTGCTAATAGTGTAAGCCTTTTGCCGTCAGAAAGTATTTTGCCCCATTTTTGAGATATGGTGTCCGAAAAGTAGGTCAAAATAATTTTTTTTCAAAATTTGACATTTGAGTTATGAATTAAGTATAGAATTTTCTCAGGAATCCGAATCTGCAAACCAAATTTCGATCCGACTTCCGGTTTGGAAGTTATGGCGTGTCCGAAAAGTAGGTCAAAATAAAAAGTTTCCAAATTTAACGTATGAGCTATGAATTAAGGGTAAAATTTTCTCAGGAATCCGAATCTGCAAACCAAATTTTGATACGACTTCCCGTTCGGAAGTTATGGCGTTTTAAAAGCTCAAAAATCGCTAAATTTGGTGCCCATGTTAAGTCAATGGGAAAAAAGATTTTTTTTGAAGTGAAAAATACGAAATATAGACTGAGTTCAGCTAAATATAACGAAAGCTTTTAAAAGAAGGGGACCTCACAAGCCATCTAGCTTCAAAATTTGGACACCAAAATGCCTAGGTCAAAATCTAGGTCAAATTCAAAGTTTTTCCTTATTTTTGCGATTCTGACACAACAGATTAATTATATTCTTCGAAATTTTGTATACATGTAGCTAAGAGTCTGCTAATAGTGTTAGCCTTTTGCCGTCAGAAAGTATTTTGCCCCATTTTTGAGATATGGTGTCTGAAAAGTAGGTCAAAATAAAATTTTTTCAAAATTTGACATTTGAGTTATGAATTAAGTATAGAATTTTCTCTGGAATCCAAATCTGCAAACCAAATTTCGATCCGACTTCCGGTTCGGAAGTTATGGCGTTTTGAAAGCTCAAAAATCGCTAAATTTGGTGCCCCATGTTATGTCAATGGGAAAAAATATTTTTTTGAAGTGTAAAATACGAGATATAGACTAAGTACAGCTAAACATAATGGAAGCCCATAAAAGAAGGGGACCTCAAAACCTTCTAATTTTGAAAATGTGGACAACAAAATGCCTAGGTCAAAATCTAGGTCAAATTCAAAGCTTTTCCTTATTTTTGCGATTCTGACACTACACTTTAATTATATTCTTCGAAATTGTGTATACATGTAGCCAAGAGTGTGCTTATAGTGTTAGCCTTTTGCCGTCAAAAAGTATTTTGACCCACTTTTGAGATATGGTGTCCCAAAAGTAGGTCAAAATAAAAAAAATCTTCAAATGTAACGTATGAGTTATGAATAAGGGGTAGAATTTTATCAGGAATCCGAATCTGCAAATCAAATTTTGATTTGACCTCCTGTTCGGAAGTTATGGTGTTTTGAAAGCTCAAAAATCGCTAAATTTGCTGCCCCATGTTATGTCAATGGGAAAAAAGATTTTTTTGAAGTGTAAAATACGAGATATAGACTGAGTACAGCTTAATATAATGAAAGCCTATTAAAGAAGGGGACCTCGAAGGCTACTTAGCTCCAAAATTTGGACACCAAAATGCCTAGGTCAAAATCTAGGTCAAATTTATAGTTTTCCCTTATTTTTGCGATTCTGACACTATATTTAAATGATTTGCTTTAAGATTTTGTATACAGGTAGCAAAGAGTATGCTAATAGTGTTAGCGTTTTGCCGTCAGAAAGTATTTTGACCCACCTTTGAGATATGGTGTCCGAAAAGTAGGCCAAAGTTAAAAAGTTTCCAAATTTAACGTATGAGTTATGAATTAAGGGTAGAATTTTCTCAGAAATCTAGATCTGCAAACCAAATTTCGATCCGA